AAAGCTTTGAATTTACTCCTGGAAATTCATATATCTGTATATTTTTAATATAAGTCATGTACATATATAATATTAATAATGTCTTAAAGAATTTCGGATAAATTTGGAGCAAAGCTTTGAATTTACTCCTGGAAATTCATATATCTGTATATTTTTCATATAAGTCATGTACATATATAATATTAATAATGTCTTAAAGAATTTCGGATAAATTTGGAGCAAAGCTTTGAATTTACTCCTGGAAATTCATATATCTGTATATTTTTAATATAAGTCATGTACATATATAATATTAATAATGTCTTAAAGAATTTCGGATAAATTTGGAGCAAAGCTTTGAATTTACTCCTGGAAATTCATATATCTGTATATTTTTCATATAACTCATGTATATATATAATATTAATAATGTCATGTATATATGAATAATAATAAAAAAAAACAAAACAATGACAAGGGAATTCAGATTACAATGACAAAAAGGGTCGATTGTAACTGTTCTCTGGTCATGAATTGTTTTTTTTTCTTTCAGTGGTAAGTTTGTTGAAATTTGGGATGAATGAAAGTCAAATATTTAATATTCAATGCTTGTTTCTTTCAACGCTGGGTTCCGTTTTTTGGTGTTTCAAAGTTTCATAATTATTCCTATATATCGATTAATGGAAATCAAAATTTTTCATTCAGTTCTTGCTGTTATTTGTATGAATTCAGATAAATTTGGGGCAAAACCTTCAAGAGAGCGTAAATGTTGTCAGTTGTAGGGAAAATTATATTCACTTCTGACTGAAAGATTAATCATAAAAACGTGTGTGTCTTAAGTGTCATGTTTTCCTGATTCTTAGGCTTTCAGACCATTTATTTATAGCCTAGACAGCTGAATCGGAACAAATGCAATAGAAATATGCTTTAAAAAAAAGTTAAGCTTATCAAATAGGGATGACTGAGGAACGTTTTGCCTTTTTGGCCCTCATTTAGCTCTATATTGAGAATTGCGTTATTAAATGGCAAAATTCTTAGATGATGTTGGAAAAACCGTAAATACATGGGGGCTAAAAATTTAAATAACCATTCTCAAAATGGTAAAGAATTTTCCTCATCTGTCATATAATTAAAAGTCTTTAGTAAGAATACTTTGGTTGTTCCAGTAGTTAAAATCTCAAACTTGGGTAATTAAACTTTTATTGAGAAAAGAATAGGTATAACAAAAAATAAATGGTAAAATATTTAAAAAAAAAAACAAAAAACGTGAGTGTGTGTATGTGTGTCATTGATGCACCCTTTTTTTTTATAAGGTGGGCTACGTGGCAATATTTGATTTTTTTTTCTTAATTAAGTAAACACCGATGTCTGGTGCTGAGTGTGTGGGTGACGTTTATTAATTAAACGATAATGGTGGTTATTAGTGACAAATAACTCAAAACGATTTTGTTAACTGATTATTAACAAAATAATCGCAACATCAAAATTCTTGTCGAAATTCGCTTTTCAGTGAATTTCAATCAAATTAGGTTTATTCAACGTTGTGAAGCATCAAATTCTGACTATTTTTTTCTTTTATTTAATAATTTTTTATCTTATACCCAAGTTCGATCGAAATATTAGATGGGACCTTCAAAAATTTTATTTCATCTATTTGTTGTTAGAAATAAGCTTGTTTAAAGTATTTAATCGACTTGCACTAATTTTTTTTTGATAGAGTATCCTGTTGCGAACAGTTTAAGTACCGTAACATGTTACTTTTCCTTTATTTCATCGAAAAATTGAAGACGGACCATCAAAATTTCAATTTTCTTGTTAAATACTATAAATGTTTCTATATCATTCTTGAGTTTGTCATGTAGAAAAAATAATAAATAACTTGACAAAAAAAGAGTTTTTAGCTGATTTAGGATTTTTTTGTCATATTTGGGTATACGGTAGGATTACTGTACTTTTTCCAACTGTACCGCTTAGCAATTTTGTTCGGTGTGCCAAAATTCAAATTCTCGACAAAATTTGAGCCAGAATGCAAAAAACCGCTTCAAAATTGCTTCATTTTGACCGATTTTAGACCATTTTAGGTTATGAAATTTAAAGGCGCATAGCATGTCCTGCAACGATCGGTGAGTCACAAAAACACGAAAAATCGTCTTCACTCATGCCTCTCCATAATCCCTGAAATTTTCATGCAAATCGGAGCATTTTGAAAGTTTGCCCATTTTTGATATTTCAGATTTTGAATTTTGAATTCCCGCTCTGCGGCATATTCGCTACAAGAACCCAGAGCGTCCTTTAAGAGTGAGCTCAAGCCTCTATCACTTGTTTTCTTTGATTTTTACCTATTTTTTTAATTTCGTCGTTTCTCCTCGAAATCTTCATCGTTTTTCATCGTTTTTTTTTTCTATTCCACTCAAAATTTTGTGATCTTTCTTTATAAATTAACGGCAAACTTGTCAATTTCATTGCGAAAAATCAGTTTTGAAGCTTTAGGCCAAAAGCTTAAAAAATTCGTCATTAGATCAATTTTCAACAATTTTCAATTTTTTTTTCATTAAAATTTTTAAATCAATGAGTTCTATCAATTTATTGTCCCTAAAACATTGTAGCCATGAGAGATTGCAACAAAAATTCATTTTTACTCTTAATTAATCCAACAATATTTGAAAAATTCACAACTCCACGAAATTTTTGCCTTTTCTGACAATTTTTTTGCCATTCGATAGAGAATTTGAAGCTTTAATTTTAATTGTTATGCCGAGTAGCACAGCTAAAGAATTGAACCACTAAAAATCGATTTTCTCCTTGATTCACAAAATTTTCCGGTTTTTTCCATTTTTTCGTAAAAATTTTTTTCATCTTGATTTTGAAATTATATTTTTATCAAATCGTCTCAATCTATTGAATGATTTCGCTTCCACTGTTCTCATTGTTATTTTCATTCTATTTTTCAGAGCCAATGTCTTCTCATCGCGTATTTTCTACATCACCCACTCGCTCTCAAATCAAGCGTCATCTCGCATGTGTAAGATTATTTAATAGCTGTTTTCGTCATAAAATGTTTATTTCAGCGCTTTTTTGCCAAAGTTGGCGAGGAAGAAGCCGAAAAGGTAAACACATTGTTTTTTGCAGTTAATAATTGACGACTTTCAGGATTTTGTGTATTTCACTTGGAATTTGTATGCTGCGGCATCAGTTGAAACACAACTATCATGTGGAAAACATCATCTTCCTATTCTTGGAGCCCTCGTTATCAATCACAAACGCGCCAAAGTGATGAGAATGCGATTGGTTTGCCGCCGATGCACCGAGGAAAACGACCCGCGTCCAGAAGACTGGCTTCCGCCGGACTTTCGAGAGTTTTTGTTTGTCCTAACACCAATAAAAACGGTATGTTTTCGACAATTTTCGAATTTTCATGATTTTTATGCGTTTCAGAAGCGCGATGAAAGAATTCTACAGAAAGTATGGACGGATTTGTCCGGAAAGAAATTGAATGGTTAGTCATTGCAACTGGGAAACTCGGCATTAACTCAACATTGCAGGCTGGAGCGATCTTCAACTGACGTCGCTGCGACGTGAAGCGTATTCACTGCGTAAAACTAGAATCATTGAGGACACTACTATTTTTTCTCCTTCTGGAGACGAAATAAAGCCTCGCGAGCCGCCAAAATTGCCAATTACCGTACGTTTTTGCATATTTTAAACATCGTTTTCAAATTAGTTCAAATTATATTCAATAGTTCGAATCAGATGATCTGTGGAAATTCTGAAAACCTCTGTTTGGAATTTCTGCAAAACAATTTTCACTTTTTTGGTCAAAATACACGATATCATTCAATCGACATTTCAAGACCATATATTTCAGAATGAAGAATTTTTTGCCAAGTATTATATCATGACAATGATTGACATCATCGATGAAAACGCCGAATGTGCGATGCATCATAAAATCGCGAATTTTGGAGTTTTGCTAAATCGAAAGCCACGAATGGATATCGAAGAATTCGAAAAAGAAAACGCATTTGAAGTGCATGCATTCTGCGAGCAATGCCTTTTCGAAAAGAAGCTCTGCTCGACATATCCGTTTGAATTCCTAAGAGCAGTGGAGCATGGATTCGATGAGGAGGTGAGTACAGCACGAGTCGTTTTTAAGACAATTGTCAATATTTCAGAAGATCCCAATTCCGTTATACGAGTACTACAAAACGCTCATGCCGCCACCATCGCCGACTCGAACAATTTGCCGCGAGCCACCAATCGACTTTTGAATCGTTTTTAAAATGATCTATTACTGTATCATGTTGTTTTCTACGTCTTAGAGCGTGTTAATTTTGATTTTTGTCTCTTGTTGTTGCAACTAATAAATTTTGTTGTGAAGAAAAATTTGATCGTTTTTTCTTCTAGTATTCATTCAGAATCAATTACTTCTATTTAAAGCAAATTTTAACAAAATTTAGTTGAAATTGGTTTATTTATTTATTTTGTAGAAGATATGTTGATTTTCAACATAATAATCATTCATCTAGAATATTGATACCAATAATTTCATTTAAAAACGTTTTATTTTTTTTTTCGAAACAAGTGTGAGGTACGAACTATCAACCAGAACTACGTTCAAAATGACATATTGATAACGCAAAACAAGTGTTTCCTATTGGCTAGAGGTTACGGTATGGGCGGGGTCAATCTTTTTAGACCAATAACAGTAGATTTGGTGTTTTGGTTTCATGGCAGTTTGGGCGCTGACTGAGATGCACATTAATTGGATTATTAATAATTGTGCATTATAAAGTGCGTTTATGCTTTGTGCTTTATTTCCGCTTCAGAGCCTAATCAATGATTTAAATTGCTCGAATTTTCCATTCCTTTCGTAATTTTTGTTCTTTGGTTAATATGCCATAAAAATGTTTGCCTGTTTTATTCGTATTTCCATTCAAAAAATGAATCATTAGTTTGATCTTTTTTTTAACACAATTTCAGCCTCTTTTATATCTAATGTCCTTATTATTCAGTTGCTTGTCATGACAATGAATCAGGACATTGTCTGTCGTAGATACTGGCATTTTTGTCTACGTGATGTTTTGGAATGTATTGAAGAATTAGTAAGGACAAATTATTCGGTAAATTTTAGCAAAACTTTTTGTCCATTTCAGCGTAATTTGTGGAGACCACCATTTGATGAACAAAGTAGAGCAGATTACTTTTACGTCAAAGTGCAAATTCTGGAAATTTTCAACATTCGTTTAGGATGTCAACTAGGTTATCATGATCATCGTGAACCATATGTAAGAAATTATGTGAGCCTAAAATTTGTAATCCTAATGTATTTATAGGAGCTCATAGTTCAAATTGACCGTCGATTTTTCAACTGGCACAATCGTCAACTATATGGTGGGTATTTTGTTGTATTTTTAAGTTTTTACATAACTTTTTTTGATAATCTCTTCAATATTTTCGAAATAGGTTACTTTTCATGAAAATTTACATATTCAAGGACAATTTTTGACTATTTTAGGGGTTTCCGCAGATAATCATAAATACCATAAGTAATTATAAAAATAAAAAACTGAGAGTTAATCATTTTATTATCATTAACTTGCTGTATATATATATATATATATATATATATATATATATATATATATATATATATATATATATATATATATATATATATATAAAGGAGAAACTGAAAGTGGTTATTTCGTGATGAACCTCGTTCAAAATAGCAAAAAAATGAAATAAGGCTATTTTTTAATTGCGTATCCATATTGCAAACTTTGTTTGCAGGTAGAACGGACCCAAACAGTTCCCAAGGAGGACAAGCTCTTCAAAATCACGATCCCAACAATGGTCAAAATTCTCAACGCGCCGAAATACCAGGGTTTTTATTTATAATTAATTAAACGCCAAATCATGCAAGTTTTAAGTGCTTCAATGATGATCAGAGCAATTCGCCGCAATGAATCTATTTCAACACTCTCGTCTGCATCTATGGACAGGCCCGTTTCAAGACTTTCCTGTGATGAGAACTCATTCGCTCTCGCAGCGTAAGTTTAGGGAAATTTGAAAATGAAATAGAAATTTTTAAATATTAAAATAGAAATATTACAGAATTTCACCGATGGGCTCTGTTGAATCAATCAATGATAATGATGACACCAACGCGTTCAATTAATTCAAACAATTAATAGGAATCAGTTTTCAACAATTCCATTATGTCCTCCATATATTGGTGAGATTTGCTTTTTTGTTTTTTCGTTGTTACAAAGTCTTACGCTGAACATGCTTAGATCATTTTGCGCGCTAGCAAGTAGTGCTACAGTTTAACAAATTCGATGTTAACTTCTTCTTAGTTTTTCATTTTTTGTTCAAAATTTAATATATAATTTATTGTAGATTTCTCTTGGTGTTTATTCATTCGCATAAGACTTCCCAAAAATTGTGAAATCGTTTCCCTGTGCATTTTGTTTGTTCTACTCTGAGGACCTACAACAATTCTGTTGTTTTTTCCTGATTTGTATTCCAAATCGCGCATTTATTAGTAACCTTGTTATTTGTTAACTTTTTTAAGAATTTGTTAACATTTTTGGCTGCTTCTTTATTTTTAATTTCCGCCGTCTGACGGCCACAATTTTCTAAATCCCAATTCGTTTTACAGCTCACCAGTGTGTAAGTTATTTTTCTACCCGATTTGATGTGTTTGATTTATCCGTTCAGCTATAGATTTAAACTGATGAAGCATGCTCAAAAAGAACAAAACCAAAAATTATTGTCGCGATCGACGAATAAATAATTATTTAATATTTTTTGTTGAAATATTCTAGTTGACATACTTTTCACGTTGAAAAATTGTTATTTAAAAAGCTGAATTGGACAAAGTAAAATTTTCTAATAAAAAAATGGATTGTTCCAAAATGAACACATTTTTCGATGTATTAAGATACTGATCTTTACTTGGTACGGGAATGCAAATGACTTCTGCTTTGAAGGTTTTTGATTTCTGAAATTATTGTTTTCTTGACAAAAATTTTGTAAGAACTCTGAAAAAGTTTTTGCTGCTAAGTTTGTTTTTCATATCGTTATATGTATCCAAAGCTGTTCTATTGAAAGATTTATTTAACTTCAAAAGCCATAAAAGACAAAAAGCTTAAAATCATTTCTCACATAAAATTTATTGTTAAACTATGATAAGTATTAATTGTTTTATTTTTAACGGTTAGAGAGTGGCTGATGCAGGGTTCAATATAATCAAGGACAGAACCGATGTTATTATGGTCTACTCTTCTAACGATTGTCTGCTCTCTGAGACAGCCGGATTCGCTTCGCGGAAGGAGATCATCGCAAGAACCGTGGTAACGAAATATGTCTCACAATTTTTAACGATTAGCAATTAATATTCAAAAGAATGTGTGGGAAATGTTAGTTTCATTGCAAAATGTTGGAAGTGTTTTAAACTGCATGCATTTTGTTTAAAAACTTAAGAAAGTGTAAAGCAAACGAAACGTTTTAATGTCAAAAATTGCTCGAGAATTTTTCCTCAAAGGACACATCGGCCTTTTTCACTTTAATGCATTTGAACGGCTAAAATATTAAATTAAAATAATAAAAACTTTTTTTCAGTCCCTACAATCTTCGCGATTCATTAATTAATGCGTCTGTTTTGAAAAAGCGTGGCACGGCTTAGCTTATCGTAAATATTTATTATTTTTAATATTATTACTGTTTTCAATAATTATCACATAAAAACATAGAATTGCCATTTTGAGAGTCTGTGTAAACGAGTCGTTTTTAAGACAATTCTCAATATTTCAGAAGATCCCAACTCCGTTATACGAGTACTACAAAACGCTCATGCCGCCACCATCGCCGACTCGAACAATTTGCCGCGAGCCACCAATCAAATTTTGAATCGTTTTTGAAATGGTCACTGTATCACTAATTTTTATTACTGTATCACTAATTTTTCTATAGTTTTAGAAATTTCCGGTTCATACTTTTATGTCAGAAAAAAAGTTATAATTAGAAACAACTTTTCTATTCACGTAAAAATGTTTGATTGAAGTTCAATTGTTTGGTTGAAAAAAGTTTCAACTTTGTAGCAATAGAACAATTCAAATTTCTCAGAAAATTTAAATTTATAATTGTATATTGCGAAATGTATTTCTTTTTAGTTATTTGTTTTGATGATGCAGTTTTCTAGATGAATCATAACATTGGGTCACAATCTGAGCGACATTTGCAGTAGCTTCGTACTTTCCTGTGTTTATAATGCATTTAACATTTTTATTTATCAATACTTATATGTAATTTTGGATATTTAATATAAATTGTTTGTGACGCAGAATGCATTTCTTTTATATAAACGTGAATAGATTTTAATTCAAGTTGGCATCCATATGTCTAACAAACATTTTTAATTTAGCTCTCATCTTAAAATTGATAGTTGATTTTAGAGAAAATATTGCTTCACCAATATTTTAAGATGATATGAACTTTTTTTGAATTCGCATTAAGTACAAACTGAGCATCTACTGCTCACTGTATGTTTTTTAGAACGAAAACAAACATTTCATTTACTGAATGAGAATTATTTCCGTAATATAAATCTCATTTCATTGAATCAAATATTTGTTTTAATTACTCAATATAAAATTTTTCTGATGAAGCTCAAAGACCATTTTGTTGTCTCACATTGATATGTAATTTTTCAATATGAATCTCTGTGATAGTTAATTGATCTTATATTTTCCACAATGTCCATTTTTATTGAGAAGTTGTACATTTTTTTGAATACCTGTTGGTGCATGCTGGGCGTATGAGTTAACTCACCGAAAATTGTTAATTCTTTAATTGCGCATACATGCGTGTGTCTTTTCTTATTTCATGAGTTTTAAAGATAAGAAATTAAAACGATAGATCGACCCGGAATTTTACAATTCTCATTTTTTCTCATTCTTATTTTTTTCTCATTATTAGTCCATATTATTCTTATCAATTCCAATGGAATTTCTTTAATTTTATTATTATTTTTATAAAAGCAGAATATACCGACTTTAACTGTTTCTGTTTGTGTCAAACTATGCAAGTATATTGCTTTTTGTGAAAATTATTGTTTCTAAAACGAGAATACTCAGGATCATATGTAATACTAGCCATCATTTATAGATTAACCATTTCTTTTATTTCATATGTGTTTTTAACACTATCGATCAATATGTTTCAAAATCATAATTGATTTCAAATCGAACGTCCTATTGGTTCATGTTGTTGGCAGGTGGGACATGCATTACGAGATCAAAAAATCATCCTGCGGACATGTTTCAAAATGTCTCACCGAGAGGCAATGAGGTACTGTTTAGAGCAGATTTGTGTTTGTTTGTGACAATTAGACGCCCCTTGGCTGTATTCTTGGCGTTGTCTATTTTTTGTATCATATCTTCAATTTTTTTTGCAAAATCGTGAATATCTTCAATTGCAGACTTTCTTTCTCTTTCTGATAATTTATTTAATTGACTCGAAATGCATGACGAATGTATGCTTATTCATGCACGCTGTTTGATTGATACCAGCAAACAAGAACAACAATTGGTGATTGCTAAATTTATGTTTGATGTTTCAATTGTTCAATTTCAGGTGAAAATGCAGCAAGAGCAAATTCTCCTCTTTGGAAATACAACTCAGGTGTTCCAAAATGGGGTTGCTTCAATTCATCAACAAAATAACATCTTGGCCCGTCTCATGGAAAATTGCAGTCTGAATCAATGCAATCATCACCAGTGCACAGTCAGATTTCATGGTTTTTCGATAGCTACTCGTTTAAAATTTTATTGCAGATGGTTATGGAAGAATCGAATCGAATTTTTTACCGTATGGAACTCGATCATGACGAAAATAAGCGAAAAGTCGTCCCGTTGCCTGAGGAATATCTTCGAATTATGGCAAGAGCTCAAGCAATGGCAGAAAATCGCGATGAGAATCTGGCCAACGGTGAAGGAAACAGCTCAGAACACAAAAGAGCAGAGAAAGAAGCCGTTGCGAATGGAAATGAAGGTTCAGTTGCTGAAGGCGTTGAAGCAGAAGAGCGTGGTGGAGTATCTGGAATGGGTTTGGAGAATGATGACAAAAACGATTTGAATTAGAGAGTTGCTGCTCACATTAATTTTTGAACATTTTTTCTTGTAGAATAAAAATTTCATCTATCGCTCTTTGTTTCAAATTGCAGTGTTCGCAGAGAGCATCACATATATTTTACGCTTTCGGTATATTATCCGTTAAGATGCTCAAAGAGCAATATTCGATAGGTGGTTAAATAATTTGACCTTTGCTGCAATTTACCAATTGTTTCTATACCAAAATCAATATGCATTTGTTTAATTGAGCTTAACAATTTTCCTATTCCAAAACATACTTCGTATTCAACTCTATCCTTCCCGTCACTAAACGTGAACTCTAATAATGGATGACTCATAGTAATCCGCTATTCTGTCATCCTACGAATGCTTCAATCTGTTACCTCTTTATTTCAATACAACTAAATTGGGGGAACAGCCTTACCGTCAGCGCGTTGTCACACTTTCGGGACACCACAAATGGGTTGCTAAGCAATGGTTCGTGCCTTACCTTCATGCATATTCCAATAATTTATTGTGTATCAGTCTTCTATATTGAAAGCTGAAAATGATTATCGTTTTTTCTTTGATTTTTTCTGCCGATGCCTCGTTTCTACTTTTTGAATTTTCGAAAATAATTATCAGTATTTCAGTGTAAGTGGAGTAAGAACACCAAACACTGACCCAGGAACAGAAATAATAGCTGGCTTCGACTACTATCACTCAAGCCAAAATGTTCAGTGATACATGTTTTTCGATGCACTCTGATTTTATCAAAGAAGTGGAAAAACATCAAAAAGCCATGGTAATTTCAAACGTCGAAATATTAACGAATTGTCCATTTTAAGGAAAATATTCGAGATGTTCAATTAGCGCTGTATGGAAAACCGTCAACGTTTTTAACTGATGCAGAGTCTCAAATAAGACGTCTTCGAGCTCATTCTTGCTTGCTTTATGAAGGGTGCATTATTGGTGTCTGTAAGCACGCAGAATACAAAGTATTTTTTACAGATATTTCAATATATTCATGAAATTTTTCAGCGCGTTATTGATCAGTATCGCGATGTTATTAATCATGTTCTACGTGCCCATGAAGAAGCCATGTCACTAAGCGATGGTCAACTCGACAAAAAAATAATGAAGCAGGTCATCAAAACAGAAGTTATTCAAGAAGGAAAAGACCCTCGTTATTCCGATTTCGCAGTCATCGACTTTAGCAAGTGTTTCACGAACAAAAAGGTACATAAGCGAAAATTATTAAAACAATGTTATATAATTTTTAGAAATGCACTCTCAAAATGATAAACGAAATAGAAAACAATAAAACTAAAGGATCTGGAACCCAGAAAAATACTGCTATTGAGGATATCGTCAACAAACCAACAAATGTTGAATACGCAGAATTGGAATATAAATCGGCAACTTCGTTCCAGAAAGCCATGGTAAATTGTTTTAGCGAAAACTTCTATTAAAAAATCATATGTTACAGACCATGATTAAACAGTCTTTCAAAAAAGTTGGAAGAAGAATGTCGGCGGTGATAGAAAATGAGCCAAAACCAGAAGTTGAGTATATCAAGATAGATTTTGAAGCCGGCGTCAATCGAAAGGCAACGATGACATTAAAAACTTATTAAAATACTTTTTATTTGTTACAGAATGATTCTGAACTGATTGATGATAAGGCATCGGGAACAACTATTTATTCAGTTGAATCTGAAATACGCAAAGAAATATGTCAAAAGCCGTGTAGTTACGAGGACTACGCAGAGATTGATTACACTGCTTGTTCAAACAAAACAGATGTGGTAATTCAAAAAAAAAAGTTACCTCGATTATAATTTAAAATTTCAGAAAGATTCATGCTCTATGGAAGAAGCAATTGAAGTCAATGAAGTAGGCAATAAAAAAGGAATTGCTCCAACCGAAATATTTATTGGCCGCTTCAAAGTGGAAATGATTGCCCAGAATACCAGAAAGGATGTATATTACGTGAATGTGTCGAACATAGAAACTGGTCAGCATATGCTATCATCTTACCGCATGTTCATGGATTTTTATCGTGAGATTAGCAAATATGAAGAAGCCATGGTAACGTATGAAAAGAAAATTCAAAGAATCACCTGGTTTTAAGGAAAATATTCGAGATATTGAAACGTTCTTGTTTGGAGATACTAGTTCAACTTATAAAGAAGGAAAAAAAAAGATGATTCGCCTGTTGGCGAACTTAAACATTAAGCAGCAAGCGTGCTTTTTGGGTGCCCGAAACAACAAGCATTGTCACGTAAGTTTAAAATATTGGTTCAAAGTTCAACCAAATGCTATGAATTTTTTAGTATATTATGGAAAAGTACCGAAGAACATACAATCACGTACAGAATGAATATGTGAAATTGGTTCGCACCCCGGGTCAATATGCTAAAGATCAAGCCGTTGTGATAAATGCCCAAGGAGATAAGGGCGCTGACGAAAATAAAGACAGCCCTGTTGCGAATGGGCAAATTGAATCGAAAGACGATTCAAATAACAACAATTGTGAAAAATAAATAAAATCATAGTTGTGACATATCTGTAAATAAATTAGCTTTACATTTGCCAATAAATATTTATGATATTCCCATTTTATGACATTAAAAGTAATATATGAACGAGGAATTATACTACCATTTTCAACATTTCAGTCATTTCAACATATTTTCACTGTCTGAAATCAGATAATCACCTCATTTACACCACCTTTTTTGAAAAAGTATGAAATGAGTCATTTTTCAAATGAGAAATAGAAACTATATGATGCCTAGATTGATTACATAAATAAAAATGTTTACATCAAGAAAACATTGGTTTGTTGTCATAAAATAAGATAATGTAATGAAAACCATAATTTCAGGCAAGTTTTAGGAATTCTGTGGAGGCTGAAATCAAGAGACATCTGAAGAAAGCTATTCAATCCGAAACTGGTAGATTCCTTGTTAAAACAGTGCTGCCAAAGACGTCAGACAGGATTTCCAATGATGAAGCTGAAACGTCCACAACAACAGCCCAGAATGTACAGACATTACATCAGATGTGTGAGATGTTTTACCGTGAGGTCGATCAATGTAATGAGCAATTTGGTAAAATGAAACCTAACAATTTTCATGCAATCTTATAATTCAAGTGCGTCTTGAATCTTTCCAGGTGTCCCTTTTTGACAATACCAATGCGGCGTTCAATCAGGGAAAAGCCAAAATGACCAAACTTCTGGCCAAGTTGAACTCTGTGCAAAAAATGACACTTTTGGGTGCTCGCAACGACGAGAGCCGCCGGATTTTTCGCAGTATTCAGCACGATTTCGAAAAAACCGTTGAGGGATCCAAGATCAAAACTAGAGAGAACAAGGAAAATGCGGAAGAAAACACTAAAGATGACCATAATATTAATAAGAAGAAGGACAATATGAAAGATGCTGGTGAAAATAAAGTTAAAGGTCAAGTTAGACTATCAAAAAAAAGAAGCCCAACAATACTTGTGCTAATATAAAAATGTGTATTTATATGTCATGTTTAATAAAGCGTTAATTAAATATACATCTATACAACACGTCAATAATGATCTGTCGATTTTGACTTCTCTCACTTTTGACTTGTCAGACTGCTGTTTTTATGGGCTGATAAAGAGTTTATATTCAAGAGTTAAAAAAATAAAAGTTTATTCACATAAACAAGTGAAGTATTTTGACAGTTCGTGTGCGGAAATGGAAATGTCTTGAAATTGAATATTTTCAGAAAGATATTGCATAACATTAAAAGTAAGAAAAGCGCTAAGGGGATCAAATTTTGTACAAGGTTTCGCTTTGAAAAATATATAATATTTGGTATATGATATATACATTTTTCGACTACCAATAATTCCATTTTGCCTAAGCCAATCGGAAACAAGACCTTTCAATTAAATAATTAGTACAGTATTTTCATTGAAATCGCTATATGAAATAATGGCTCACGAAAAATAAAAGGTTTGGAACGAAAAATGCCAATTCCTCCTATTTTTGTTGTCTCACTATAGTGAATCAATACGATCAGTTTTCTTAATAATCTATTGACGATTTGTGAAGCCACAGCCCTCTATATTCTCTATTTCTCTATATTCACCTCCTGGTATCATATGCTTATAACTTAGAAGATTTTGATTTATAATTGAATTTTGGATGGAAAAAAAATCAAATTGGTAGTGATTTCTCATTTATATCTTCTTTTTAGTATGCATTTATAAATTATTTAATATTGCCTTTACTGTAAATTGATTTTGCATTGTATAATGTTATTATTTTATTTCTTTTTTTGCAGCATATTCTGTATTTCTGAAAAGATTTGTTGAAAAAATTAATTCATAAAGCCAAAAAATAATTTCATTTTATAATGCTCCAAAATTTTTACTCGCAATGAAAACTGGTTGCTAGGTTTTAGCCAAATCGATTATTAGTATGTTTGGTGGCCGCGTCTATACACATTCCTGTAATCATAAATTCTAGTCCACCAATTTTCGAAAAATTGCAAGCAGTACAAATTATTACTCAAATTAACTTTGAATAATGTATTATTATAGTTTCCGGTATTTTAAAAGCAAATAATTCACACACATTGGCATTTTTTTCAATTTAAAATGCAAAATAATTAGTTGTTAGAAACTGCTGGCCTAGGTTTTTTAAGGCCGTCCTCATAGAACACGAAGTGACGCCAATCGATTTTTTTCAATTTCTCTCCTATTTCTGCATTTAGTAAAATTTCATTAACAATTTTTCCGAAAATCTTCTAATAATTCCTTAATTAAAATTTCTGAAATCCATTTTAGTTTTTTTGCAAAACGCTATGGACGAATCAAAACAATCAAACTCGGACGTAGAATTTGCAGAGAATGAATTTTATGTAAGCTAATTATCAATTATAACACAAGTATATGTTAAAGTAATATTACAGGTGTTCAGTGCTGACATGAAAAACAGGTTAAGGGATCTTAAACAACACTCAGAATTTGCTTCGAAGGCCTGGAAATATTACTCAAATAATAAACATTTATTTCAAGGACCGGTTTACATGCCAATTCTTCATGTAATGTTCTCGCAGTCTCGGAATGTTAACTCTGAAAAAACCATTTTTAATTGCAATTTTATGGCCTAATCATCATATTAAATATTTCAGACATCGTTTCTATCATTGGAGGCCGCAAAATTTTTTGAATGTGTCTTCGATTCAGATTTCTGGCATTTGTTTGTCTTTACTAATCCGGTATATGCAAGAATTTGGATATTTTTTAATTTTTTTTGCCGTTTATAGGAAGATGAAGAATTACTGCGTGCAAGCGATGAATGGAAAATCAATTCTACTGTTGTTAATCCTTGTAGCTTAGTTCAAGAAGAGCTTCATCCAATTCTTCCTAACAAGATAAAAGCTCTTGGTTTTGATCGGCTAATGTCAAATTTGATTTGTGCTCCGCCAATTTTGAAGCAGTTCTTTTGCGACTATATAGATGTAGTTTGATATTTAAAAAATTTATTTAAATGAAAAAGTTTTAGATCCATCGCACTGCTTATGGTCGTAACTTGCGAATGCCAGCAGAAAACATCATTAACGCCATTGCACAAACATCGATTTCAGGATACGTGCATAATCACACATGGGCATGTCTTTTAGAGATTTTATAGAATAAACAATTTCAAAATTCAGACCGGACTATCGATTTCATGTTATACAGGTGAAACTGTAATTTCGTATGCGAAATTGCAGGATACTGGAATGTGGTGCTCGCCTTGGTATATCAAGAACGGAGCATAACTAATGTTTGTAAATTAACGGTTAATCGCATATGAAATGTTCAATGATTTTTTATCAACCTCATTTTTTCTATTTTGAATAAATTTAATTCTTTTCTTCAGTTTCAGACCCCAAGTTTTCGGATCAAGTGTTCTTTAGATTTATTATTTGTGTCTTTGTAAAGATGCATGAAAGGTATACTTTATATAAATCGAAAGCGTTTATGCACACTCCGTTTATTCTCACTACTTGTATTCCTTCTTGAGATTAACATCATAAATTCTCAATGCAATTCCCAAAGTCACATCTCTCAACTCTCTTTTTCACGCCATTTCACGATCCACCCGTTTTACCTATAAGTGCATTGTCATATTCACATGTTCATGAATGAGACAGATGAAAGGCCGTGCCTCTATCACTGAGAGGTACCGCAAATCAAATTTGCTGCTCGTTGGGTTCAACATATTTCAGTTACTGACAACACATCCCACTTCACTTCACCTGGATGCCCAACTGGGACCACAAGAGGGGTATGCGTAACCCTTTGTCCAAATGGTTGCTGGCAAAAACACTTTGAATTTTCAGATGGGCATAACACGCCTGTGACCCTTCAGTGCAGGCCGAAATTTCGTGAACACACTCAGAAGACTTTCTATTTTAAGGGTGCAAAATTACAAAAAAATCCTAAAACGGGAGGTAAAATGACTTCCCTTGTGAGACCTGGATAAATCATCAAGGTCTCATCGTATAAAAATTGAAATAACAGAAATGAAATATTTCCATAATTACATTCATTTGATCCGATTTTGAAATTAAAGTTCGATAAATAATTTACAAATTCAATTGAAACGATCTTGAAGAGAGTCCATAAAATGTTGAATGTTATTCTGAAGTCTCTAAATTTAAATATTAAAACGTTCAATTCAATGCTTATTAGCAAATTTGAAAAGGTTCTTTTTCATCACAAAATCTTGACAATTGAAACAAAATTTAAACACATTAATTTTTAAATTTTTGTATTTGACAAGATTTCAAGTCATCAGAAATTTAAAACTAACATGTTGTCTTCTGTGATTGCATCTTCCAATTTCGCACGACTCAGCGCATTCGCGGAGAAGTTCCATCAATCTGCAGAAGGTGACGATTTTCTCCTCCATATTTGGACAGATGGTCTCGTGAAAGTAATGATTAATCACTACGAATCTTTGCTGAAAATTTGATTTCAAATTTTGAATGCGGTCAGTTATTATTACCATTTTGCGAGTGTGGTGTACGATTTTGCCATTTATAAATCGTTGGCGATCGGCACAGGAGAGCCCATTCATTTTCTGTAACAACGTTAATTTTAAAACAAATTAAAAAAAAACACAATCTAGAAAGATGAGTTAAAAATGGAAATAGTAGAGCAAGAATGCCTGAACTCCAAAATGAGGAATTTGATGAGGTCGTTCAGAGAGCGATAACGGTGAAAATAATATTAATTTTTTTGTATGTAATATGGGAATTTTCCTCCATTGCGTCTGTTCACACGCATTTAAAAAATATTTGGACGACATCTGAAACAAAACGATGACATTAACGCATCGAAAAAAAGACGCTCCAAGGAATTGGTTCAAAGTGCAGAAGCGAGGAATGAAACACAAATGTCAGCTACGATAGTTAGGTTCAAACGGTTGCGCGTCGAGGGTGCGTGTAATTGAGCAGTGACGAACAAATGTAGTGCGATGACTCAATGGTTCGGTTTTGTAAGGCCCGGAAATTCAAAATTTTTGGCAAATTACTTTGTATTTGAACTAACTCAATGCACTGCCAATGAACCAATGTAGAAAGTGGCGTGTTCACCAATGAAACATGCGACATGAACGTCTTTTCAACAATACTGCTCGAAAAGCAACATATCACGTTTGAGCGTAGTTTACAACAATAGACTAGTGGGAAAACGATGCAAAATGGGTATTTGATCATGCAGACTATGGTTTTCGCATAGTTAACGAGCATTAAAAGATGGTTAAGAAAACAACGCTGTTTCGAAAACCCATTGTGAACATTAATGTAAAATGGCGCGGCCTATTTTTTTCTTGTGTATCAAGCGAGGTACTCATGGGTAATAAGTGTGCTAATGGTTATCATTGCAGAGATATGAATCATCATTCGTCGAGCAACGAGCTTCTCATGTAGACTTGGAAACGAATACCTAAACTTCGGATTTTTTCGAAAGTTTCCAAGTTCGAAGTCAAGTTTTTTGGTAAAGAAAGTCCCAGCAACTACAGTTAGTTCGTTTCAAGAAGAAGAAAAGATTAATTTTGTGCTATTAAAAGAAGCATGCATTTATATAATATTTATAACTATGAGTAATCTCAAAGCGAGAGAGGAGGTTGTAAACCAAGAGATATCACTAAGATCTATCTTGTGTTGCTCATTCCATTTGCTCAATATACTATTAAGTTGTTTATCGTTTGTATTTCACACAATCAGGAATATGGGATCAAGTCGAGTGCCGCGCCATCTGAGAGGTTGGAGAAACAAAGCGCGCAAATTACTTATGAAAAATTACAAATTACCTTGTGTAACTTAAAAAAATGTTTTTCACGATCTGCAGTCCCTCATTGCGTGTATTTGAAGAAAGCTCAGAGATTTGAAATTCTTCAATTATTCTCGTGAACATAGAAATTTAAATTTCAATAGATATTTTCTATTGTTTTCATTAAACAAAAGAACAAATGTTCTTCAAATAATAAGAAAATATCCAACCGTTGTTGTTTGAAATTTGAATTTTTTTAAAATTTATCAATAAGATTTTAAATCCATGAGTTTCAAGTAACCTAAAAAACAGAGAAAAATTTTAAATATATAGCAAATATGTGGTTTGCCATTTTTTTTAACGAATAGTTATAATCCAATTTATTACGAACAAAGAAATTATAGAAAGTAGAAAATAACATTTTTTTTAAATGTCATACCAAATTCATCAGATACAAAAATATTAATATTCCATATGAGCTTCGTTGCAGTTACAAATTGCGACGGCGAAGTGGCTAGTTATGTACCACTAGCAGGAAAACTTCCAAACGTTATAAACGAATCTGAAATACAATTTCTATCACCATTTAAACGACAAACAGAATTAAGTTAAAAGAAAACATTAAATTTCGAACAAACCTGTTGGTTTTCATGTGCACACGCTGAAAATAGGAATAATTCTGTCCACCCTTTAAGGGCAAAACATAATTGGCGAAAATGAAAAATAAATCTTGTAATATCTCATTTTATAAACCTTCTAATAGAATGATGCGATTACGAAGACAAGCTAAAAATATTTGAAAATACCCATTAAAGAATGAAAAGATCATCTTTTTAGAGTAGTGTATCGTGCACGAATCTTCTGCGAGTTTACATACTTTCCAAATATTGAAACTTAAAAAAACAATTAAATTAAACATTTCCTTTAAACAATTTGTTAACGGTAATATTTGTTTCTCGAATATATTGTCGAATTCGTGAGATCCCTTGTATGCGTGCCGTTTTATTGTAATGAGCCACGCGAGATGACAAAAACGTCGATTACGACATTGTAAATCAAACGACTTTTGTCGCAATTGTTTCGACTTTGTTGGCTGAACATCTGTGGCACGATGAAAGCATTGAAAAACAGCGTAGAAACAATAGAAGCGCAGGCGATGACGCGGGTGCAAGAAGTTCGTGCATGAAATTGGCGGGAAACTTAAAATTTGGAAACATTGGATGTTCCATTTAGATATCGATATTAACTCTTAAACGTAAGAAATAGTAAAATCTCGGAAAATTTAATCATTAAAAAAACTGTAAATGGTGATGACTATTTCCATAAATGAAATGAAGTCAGAAGCAAGAGTTACACAATCATTTTGACATAAACTGGATTGATATTCGATTGACTTGTTCAACTGTTCCGCGAAATATTTTTGAGATTATTAAAAAATTTTAAGCAAAGCGGTTTTCTTTGATTATTTATTGCATTGATTAAATAACACAAGCACAGGATTAGACACTTCAGGAGATTATTCACATGTACGCCCCTCTTCCGTACGATCCACTTTCCGGCTCACTCTCTTCTCCTTTGATTGCGTTTTGTTCAACATCTTCCAGAGCAACTCTGTCTGGTTTTGGTTCCATCGATGCTTCGGCACCTATGACCATGCCGTCAATATCAAGATCCTAAACAAAAGCTAGTGAAATAAACTATTAAATAGTTTCTAACATACCCTTTCAACGGTATCAGGGCTGATTTTCAAATACTCCGCGTAGCCTTGCTTCCAGAGCTCCTCATCATCGTTATTCGCATTGATTCGTCTCATAGTATTCTCATGATCCTTCTTGACAATTTTATAATACTGACGACACATGTCGGCACAGTTCTAAATTTTAAAGTAATTGTTATGATTATGCATAAAGATTCACATTAAGCTCAGCGTGATTACAACGGCGAGTCAGACAGTTAGTATATTGCTGAGCAATGGAATCGGTGAGATGAGCAAATTCCTGCTCAGTAATAGTGAGAACTTCACTAATTTGACCACCGGCATGACTTTGAACCAATCGAAATTTCTCCTTAATAATCAATGGTTGATATGAAACATTTCAGAAATTGCATACCATTTCTTGTTTGTAGAGTACGATTTCAGTATTTATTTCATCGTGTAAGATTCTGCAAGACACCTGCTCATCATCTCCTATAGCGACATCTTGATCATCATCAACACATTCTTCGTCAGTCGCCTCTTCCTCAATCACTTCCTTTTTTATATCCTTCTTTTTCATTCCAATGCCGTTGTCATGAGGAGCTCCTTCTTTTTCTTTGATGTGAGCCTAAATGTTTTTTTTAAATCAAATATTCTAAACATTTGAGCCTACTTTTGCTTCCTTTACAGTCCAAAGCTTTTCTTCATCACCTTTCTCATTGAATCGTTTAAGGGTATTTTCATGATCATTCTTGATGATTGCGTAGAACTGACGGCACATGCTTACAGAGTTCTGAAAGTAATCACATTTGTTATGCTAATAATGGCGATTCTCACCTCAAGCTCCGCGTGGTTGCATTGATCACTGAGGCAGTTAGCGAACTGCTGAGCAATAGAATCAGTGAGGTATCCCAATTCTTGTTCAGTTATAATCAAAACCTCGCTGACTCCCATGCTGGTACCATTTTGAATCGCTCGGAAGTTTTCCTAAAATACGAATTATGTGGTTAAGAAATTGAAAAGGGTAGTACCATATTTTCTTTATACGAATTGATCTCGCTGTTGATTCTATTGTGCATGGCGATGCATGTCAAAATCTGCTCATCTAATTCATCAGCTGCCTCTGCGAACTCAATGACAGCTTCTTCTTCTTCAATTGCTCCATCCTTAACATCCTCAACGTCTTCACTAGCAACTCCATACTCGATGTCTTCTTGCTTTTCAACCTCTGCTCCGTGATCACCACCATCATCATCATTGGTACCATCCCGCTTCTCAGATCCTGTGCATTCATCTATAAATCCAACCTCTGCCACGGCATCTTCCGAGTCCTTAGAAATTGCTGCTTCCTTGCCATGATTAACAGTTTTTGCGCCTTTAAGAACAGCCTCAACTTTGTTTTTCCTGTCTGCCTTTTTTTCAACATTTCCAGAAAAATCTCGACGATAGCTGTCCTCTAATTCTTTTTTATCCACCTAAAAATGTTTCAAAAGAGAAGATTTTAAGCTTTAGCAATTACCAGTGCCTGCTTGATAGCTTCGATTCTGAAACGAATTCCAGCAAATTGTGGAATATCGTCTTCGCTTTCTTCAGGTGAACTGTTTTCTTGATTGTTAACATTGGCCTCTTCACCAATCTCATCCACATTCATGATCACTATGGCTCTATGGTCATTTTCAATTTCGTGAACAGTTTCCTGATATTTCTCCATCACTTTCTGAAATTTGAAAAAAAAGCAAAACAATCGCGATATTTTTGAAAAATACTTACTCGAAAGTTATCATGTTCACAGGCTCGTAACTCGCATATTTCTCTTAGCATTCCCGACAAAATCCGTATGCGTCGTATCTTCTTCTGAGCATAAATGAAAATAGGACTGATGCGGGAAAAAAGTTCAAGTTGTGCTCTTCTGATGGATTGCTATAAAAAAAAAATACGAAAAGATAAAATAATTTATTAAGTTGACATACGACATTGCTTTCGAGCATACGCATTTCCCTGAGAAATTCGGAGTATCCATCGTCACAGTCTTCGTCGAACATTTTCGATACGAGAAGAAATTGATGCCGGAGGCGATATGTTGATCAAAATGAGTTATTATGAGCGAAATACGCGCGCCAGCTCAAGACACGCCCCCCCTACGGCGACACCATTGAGGTGTCCCGGAAGGGTGGCAATACGCTAACGGACCCGATAAAGTTTTCATGAAATACCTTTGGTGTCCCGGAACGGTGGCAAACCGCTCTCGAAAGGACCCCAAATCGTCGGTAAGTTCCGTTGGGGGCCCGGAATGGAGGCAGGATGCTGGCGGGGAACGTTGAACATATAGGGAATTCCATTGGTGTCCTAGAAGGGTTTCAAAACAAGTCGGAGTTACTAATGATGACAGAGACAAGAAATTCCAAAATTTTAAATTCCATTAGTTCTCCTCTTGAAATCAAAAATTAGAAGAAAGGGACGAGCCATTATAGGTTTTGTCAATATTTCATACTGTTTTTGTGAAATGTGGGTAAAATACGCCGTATATATAAAACCACGAGACATAAAAACGTTGCGCCATTTTTTCCATTCCTTTTTTGTCTGTTTTTCTTTGTATGAAATTTCATGGAAAGATTTGCTTTTGTTCAATGTTGAAATATATCGTCAAGAAAATGTTTACATTTTTACCTTCAAGGAAATATGCAAATTTAGATATAAGGAATTTTTGAAAATTAAACGTTTGTAAGCGATAAAAGCAGAATAATTATTAATTTTTCCGATGACGAAAAAACCAATTTGTTAAAAGAAATAATTTTTTATTCGGTAATATTTTTTGGTGGGAAAAAAATTTAATTCAAATTGAACGAATTTTGGGGCAGTTTGCCAGTGGATTTGGAGCGAGCTTCGGGTGCTACCACACTCAACCCTGGGCAAACGTTGCCCCTGTCTGCCCTTGTTCGCCCTTAGGTTTCTAGATGCTTACCAAACCTTTCTCCATCCCCAAAAGAAATTTCGTTTTTCAGTATTGCTTCTTCCCGAAATTTTTAATTTTATGTTTAAACGAGGTCTTTGGAAGCATATAGTACATTTATTATAAAACATGTATATTAACGTTGTAATAACCGTATCAGTTAATTCTCACATTAACAAAAGCTTGTTCAATGCGTCCGAGCGTCTGCTGTGCTTGATCGAGAAGCATCTTGAATTATTAAAATTTTGAAATCTTTAAACTAAACTCACTTCTTGTCTTGAGTGGTCGCAAAGACCATTTTCACAGTCTACCATGCAATTGCGCATTAGTTGAAACAACCTGCAGAATTCATCAACGTGATCAGAGAAGTTGGAGGACAAGGTTCCATGAAATCGTTTGTTAATTTGATTGAGCTTTTTCTAAAAAGCCTATTCTATTCTATAATTATGAAAAAAAGGTATGCTAACCATTTTGTGAGTGTAGTAGAGAATCTCTCCATGGAGGAAAATGATTCGCTCAGAGCACTGCTTATTCATCTTCTGAAATATACAGAAATATTCATAGCTTATGTATTAGAATGCATCGATAACTAGGAAAATGTGGAATAAATAGAAATGTACAATATTAAAGATTGCTAGTTAGTGATATTGTCGCACAGCTCGTGATACCAAACACAACTCACTAGTACAGTGTTGTTGCGCAATCAAAAAGAAGTATGACCCGCCAGATTATAAACTGCGATATGAATCGATGCATTATTGATGTATATTTGAAGAATTGCTTTGAACTGACTTTTAGCTCGAGAAAGCTGCGGAAGAGTCTGATTCTTTTTTTTTCTTTAGAAAAATACAAAAATTTATTTTCAAACTTATTTGCATCAATTCATTGTTTGATTCAAAAGAAAAACATAAAATGTAACAGACGAGTAACTTTGATGAAAAAGAAAACTCTTCGTTGCGTATGTTACAAAAACTGACAGACATCGCGATGACTGATTGGTAAGCCTTGACATTGAGACCTATTTGAACATTCTAAAATATCGCATTGGTTAAAATTTTTTGTTAGAGATTTTTTTAAGTTAAGCTTTTAAAAACGAGTTTTTTATAAACGAGTCTGAAATTATATGCGAAAAAATGAGAAAAACATATTAATTTAAAAGGAGATATTAATTCAATCTTTAACGACCTTCATCCGCAACCTATGATGAAGAACTCTCTCTTTCTTTTCAATGATATCTCGATTAAGTTTTTCATTGAAAAATGCATGAAATTGGTGACCTTGCCGCGAATAGGTTTTTTTTTAAACATTTTATGAAACTTTTGAGTAACATTCGTTATGCGATCTGTCAATGATTATGCAATGAAATAAATATAACAAATTAGGTGTCGCAGTATTACAATAATACCGACTCTATAATATCTCTCTCTCGCAAAAACTGGGTCGGTTTTGAAGATTCAGAAAAATTAGCGTTGATTAGTTTTCGAAATAACATTGTTTATTTTTGAAAAAGAAACGGAGTATAATTATTTATACTGAAATATCTTGTATCGCAGTTGGGGTCATACTTCTTCGTGGCGCACCGGTTCTTTGACTATATTTGGTTGAATCAATTTTATTTCTACCCTGCGAATCTTCACATCCCGACGGAAATCAATGTGCTGATTTTCTGTACGAAGCAATATGCGACGACATTCATCAATCAGTAACTAAACATTTTTTATAATACACGTTCACATAAAAATAATCAAAATAATAACGGAACCTGGATTCTCGTATGATCGCAAATGCCGTTACTGCACATCATGAAAAGCTGTACGATTTTATGGTGAAGGAATTCTATATTTTTGAATCCATCAATTAGAAAATCTTGAATCACACCGTTGCTTACCAGTTCCTCATTTTTGAGTTTTTCCTAAATTTCAATTTTACTTTAAAAATCTTAAGAAATCTCACAAGTTGCATTTTATGCGAATCTCGTTCGATTTGAAACATTAAATGAACTGTTGTACAGTCTCCTTTCAAAGTAATTTTGTTCGTGCGGTCTATGGCGTTATTTTGCTTAAATACCAAATATAAGCATGATTACTGAATAAAAGATTGACTGAGAATGGGAACACATATATAATTACTTGTTGAAAAAATAAAAATCGGTTATACAGATAAAAATACGTGTTTTACCACTTTGGTTTATTACAAAAAATATTTAAAACTTACTGTTGTGATGTAAATCTGCGTCTGGATTTTTCGACGTCTGGAGATAGAGCCTTTAAACATTTCGATAGGGCTGCTGATGTTTCAAATATTACATTCCTCTTATTCCAGCTACGAAATAATTAAAACGAAAAAAACTAGTTTTTTATTATTCCGTTTTCCTCTGAATAATGCAATCATTGTGCTCTGTTATTCATTTTTTCTTAATTAAATTAATGCTATTGATGTTTGAACATTTATGTGTTTTCAATAACTATATTCCAAATATTCGTATTACTGAACCGTATACCATATAAAGCAATACAATTGGTGCCTTCTTTTTCAATTTTGCAATATGTTAACTTATATCTACGAAAACGCACAAAAAGAAAACTTAAAACTCAAAATTTTATGTTTTAAATATAAAATTTTAAAGTTATTCACACGGACAATCAATTTGCCGTATTTTAAAAGGCAATTTCCGTCAATCGAATAAAATCATATGATTCACACATTGAGACTGCATGTTATTGAACAATTAACCACCTCAGCTAGTGTAAGTTAAACATTGCCCGTATAGAAAGGTAAAAAAATATAGTTGACTACAATAAAAAACAACCAATTGGAGGTGAGGTAAAATTATTAAACATGACAAAAGATGGAATTAAACCTAAATGGAATTGAGCGATAGGAATAGTAAGAACAAAAATATGATAAAATCATTCAAAATATTCATATATTTTTATATTTCACTTTGCAAAAAAAAATTTTAAAAAAATTAAAGAATTAAGTTTTATGAGAAATACTGGAATGCAAGTTATAGAAAATGAGGCCAGCTGGAATTTTTCCACGTGAATACTGATAACTGTTTCTAATTATCAAAAATGATTTTTTCTTTTAACAACAAGTGTAATTTTTTTGAGAATTTACTGTAATAATATATAGTCTTTCAATTAAAAATGGCGTAGCTGCATAAATTAATAATTTCTTCATGCTTTTGTAGCAAATTTTATTGGTGCCTCAACCGAGCAGCCATATATTTCACCTGTCCTTCTCGTTTCATCAAACGTATCTTGTGGCCGTTCGACATATCTCTTGGGACTGATATCTATGACAACGTATTCACGGAACATATGATACATACATTATAATTGTGAGAATTATGATTGTTTGGACATTCAATTACCAAAATCATTCAAATATTATGTTACTTACAAAAATATATGTAGTAAAGGTACAATCAAAAATTGTTTTTTTTTTTCATAACGCTGGCGGTCGACGGTGCTTTGAATTACTCGATTTGACTCAGCGTCACTTTCATTTATGATTATCTGAGAATGTATATCTAAGATATAAGTTCAATAATATTCTCATGTTACAATCAAGCGGACGTGATCACACTAATTTGTCTCGCACCAGTCACTGGTTTCCATTGCCTGTTCTTCAAATCCCGAAATGCGGTCACTAATTTCCCCGATTCGGAATCGCGAATTGCAGAGAAAAGAATGAAGATTTAAGAAACAAATATAATGCAATGATAATAAAATGATTTACTTGCCAGTTTAAGATAAAACTTATAAATACCAGGCTCGACAAGGGCTAAATTGCACAAATGAAGCGCCATGCCCGTCAGTAGTAATAGAAACGTAAAACGAGACGGAGACTTACATAACCTAAATCACTGGTTTGGTAAAGCAGGTGAATATTGAATTAACTAAAATGGTAGGAATTGAGTTAGTGAATATAAGGAGTTTGTTTTTAGTTTTGCTATTTCTTGCGTTCCTGACCTTGTGCAACAACCTTTTTCCAACTTTTCGGATTCGCAAAAAAATTTTTGGGCTTGCGGAGCTTTTCAACGTGAAATAAACCAATCTGCTTAAAATGCCCTGAAAAAATTGTATTGTGACCAGAATATTAAAAATAATTATATAACAACATCGAGTTTGTCATTTTCAAATTCAGGGTGGTCCCTATTCTAATTTTTTTCGTTTTAGTTTTTTTCTGCAATTCCAAATAATTTTTTTAATGAGAAGTAATTCTAAATTTTGTATGACGACATTGCGATCAACAAAATGACGTTTGATTTTTTTCGTAACCGCGTTCCCAGCTTGAATCACCTTGTCTTGCACCCTCTTATTTGTATGCAGTGTCTCTTGAGGAATCTAGTTTTCTGCAGATAGAACGTTCCTAAACAATCATTTCTAATAGTCACGTTGGCGAAAATCAACCATTTTTATGTTTTCGAAATTCAAAAACACTATATCGGATACACAGTTGCATATGTTGCATATGCTGGAGAAACCCGGAGAGAAGGAAAAAATTAAAATCGGTAAGAAGGCTTTTTATTTTAACTTATTTGAGCTTAATCAAATTATTTCAGCCACCAATTAGTTATGATAGCGTCTCTGAAGGACAATACAAGTTTGATGCTCTCCGGACCATCTTGTCAAACAGTTGTAAGTTTGATAAAAGAAGGAATGGCAAATTGTGAGGTCAGTAGGTTAATTAGGTTCAAGGAAATTTTTGTTGTTCTTCCAGAAGGAAATTTTGACCCACAGCTAATTTTTCAATGCGTTAAATGCAGTTTCATTTCAACCACCTTGTAAAGCATGAAATTCTGACCAATTGCTTTTTTGGATCGTTTTATTTCGTTCAGAAACAAAAAAATTTAGAGCCCCTGATAGCTATTTTTAATAGTCACTCTAAAAATGTTCGAGTTCTTATATGCGATTTCAGCCTTAGCTTAATGTGCTGGTTTGGTGTAGTGGTTAAAATGTGCGATCATTGAGCGTCAATATCTATAGATGTCCAAATGATTGCAATAAAAATATTAACAAAAAAAATAATTAAAATGAAAAGAGGGCACGCGTGAGAGGAGGAGAGGTCATTTCAGTCATTTCAAGTCATTTCAAGTCATTTCAAATTTATTTCTCTTTGACAACTCCTACGGTGCTCAAGATGAAAATGAGTTGCGATGACTTTCGTCGATCCGTGCAAGAAGAAATCGATTCGCATGTAAAAGATTTCGTAAGTGATCATTGCTCGTAATTTGAAAACCGCATAATTAATTTTTAGAAAGAATTACTCAAGCAGGCAGATGAATATAATCTTATCGACCAACTTCGCCCTTATATTGCTGATTTTGCGAACGCAAAGGAAAAAATGGAGGCTCTAAAGGCGGACTGTCTCAAGGGAAAGTGTCGTCATATGAATGCATCGGTTCGTTTGTTTTCTATTATTTGGCATATCTAATTACACCGAATAATTGTATTTAGAATAGTATCCATTTCATTTCAGATCTTCATCGAAAAATTCGAACGAAACCACAATCGCGCTTGCAACGTCGTATGTATCCACATGATCGAGTGTGCCAAAAGTGTTGGATTGATTCAACCGGGATTTTCGGCCTATAAAGAATAGCATTCTGATCCACGCACCACTCGTTGTTTTTCGAATTTATTGACAATCCGAGACAGTGGTCATCTACCACCCACTTTACCGCTTTGTCTTATTTTTCTTTGACTAATTACATTTTTGATAAATGTCATAATATTTGTTTGTACCTCTAGAGTTTCCATTATTTATATCAAGTTTATACCATATAATACCTTGTATTGGATTAAAAATTTGAACATCATCATTTAAGAAGTTGCGAAGTTCCGTGAATAAGCACATATCCATGAATCACACAAAAATGGTGATTCAGGATTCAAAAAACAGAACGAAAATTTAAGATTATATTAAAAAAATAAAAGAAACATCCAATAATATGTATTTATTTAAAATACAAAAAAATCACAATAAATAGGAGGAAAAAAATAGTGCCAACGAGTGGTGCGTGGATCAGAATGCTATTCTTTATAGGCCGAAAATCCCGGTTGAATCAATCCAACACTTTTGGCACACTCGATCATGTGGATACATACGACGTTGCAAGCGCGATTGTGGTTTCGTTCGAATTTTTCGATGAAGATCTGAAATGAAATGGATACTATTCTAAATACAATTATTTGGTGTAATTAGATATGCCAAATAATAGAAAACAAACGAACCGATGCATTCATATGACGACACTTTCCCTTGAGACAGTCCGCCTTTAGAGCCTCCATTTTTTCCTTTGCGTTCGCAAAATCAGCAATATAAGGGCGAAGTTGGTCGATAAGGTTATATTCATCTGCCTGCTTGAGTAATTCTTGCTAAAAATTAATTATGCGGTTTTCAAATTACGAGCAATGATCACTTACGAAATCTTTTACAAGCGAATCGATTTCTTCTTGCACGGATCGACGAAAGTCATCGCAACTCATTTCCATCTTGAGCACCGTAGGAGTTGTCAAAGAGAAATAAATTTGGAATGACTTGAAATGACTTGAAATGACTGAAATGACCTCTCCTCCTCTCACGCGTGCCCTCTTTTCATTTTAATTATTTTTTTTGTTAATATTTTTATTGCAATCATTTGGACATCTATAGATATTGACGCTCAATGATCGCACATTTTAACCACTACACCAAACCAGCACATTAAGCTAAGGCTGAAATCGCATATAAGAACTCGAACATTTTTAGAGTGACTATTAAAAATAGCTATCAGGGGCTCTAAATTTTTTTGTTTCTGAACGAAATAAAACGATCCAAAAAAGCAATTGGTCAGAATTTCATGCTTTACAAGGGGGTTGAAATGAAACTACATTTAACGCATTGAAAAACTAGATGTGGGTAAAAAAAAACGGTTTTCAAATTACGAGCAATGATCACTTACGAAATCTTTTACATGCGAATCGATTTCTTCTTGCACGGATCGACGAAAGTCATCGCAACTCATTTCCATCTTGAGCACCGTAGGAGTTGTCAAAGAGAAATAAATTTGAAATGACTCGAAATGACTTGAAATGATTGGAATGACCTCTCCCCTCTCATGCGTGCCCTCTTTTCATTTTAATTATTTATTTATTGTTAAAATTTTTATTGCACTAATTTTTTACGTGGGTAACCGCTTTCCTTCAAGACAATGTGACCTCTCCCATCGCTCTGCTGTCTCCATAATTAAAAATCGAAAAAATAAGCTGGTGATGATGGAAATATATTATAACTTGAATTTTCAAATAATTTTTATTACCAACGAGTATTGAAGCCTAATGGGCCATAGTCACCTTCCAGATCTTTTGCAGTTTTGTTTTATAGTTTCTAATGATTTTTTTTTCCTTTTTTTCAATAAATATAGATATTGTGAAATGACGTTTGCTAGTGTGCGGAGACTGAAAACATACATAATAAGTTTTTTTTAACAATTTTTATGCTAATCTTAAACAAATTCTAACACGTGCAAAAAATAAATTGCAAGCGGTAATTGAATCATGAAACTATAAAAAATTGAACTTGTTCGGGGGAGGGGGTTGGATGTAGGTCTTATTGCCTTATTAGAATGATATTTAATCACTAAAGTTTAAAATTAAAAAAAATGACATTTTTTGCAAAAAAAAAGATTTAAATGAGAAGGGGGCACGCGTCAGAGGGGAGAGGTCATTTCAATCATTTCAAGTCATTTCAAGTCATTTTTTTTTGACGATCAGGTCGTTACATTCATTTCAAATCCTTACACTATGAGTTGCGAAGCGGTTGTAACGAAAAGTTTAACGTGAGTAGTTTGGACAGTTCTATCAAACCAATTTCTTTGTGAATTTCAGCACTCGTGAAGACGTGACAGAAAAACGATATGAGCAAAACGTTAGAATTAAACAGTTTTGATAATCCAAATTTGATTAATTTTAGGTTACAATTCGAACAAGGAAAGAAAAAAAAGAAAGTGAACAACCTGAACCTGGAACAGATGGGAAAACTGAATATTGCAAGAAGACGAACGTATGCACTGCTGCGAAGCCCAAACAACCGGAGAATGAGGTCAAACATTCGATAAGAAAGATGAAGCCACTGAATTCAACTCCGGTATGCAATTTCTTAATTTTTTATTCACTAATCGAGAGAACTAAACACCCAGAATACTACATGGTAGTCAATGTCAAAAGGGACCTATTTTTAATAACATTTTGGTAGCACTTTGAAATACTAATTTGTTAAGTCGTTCTTTGGCCAACTCTGAGTAGTCGTTTTCCACAGCTTGCGACATTGTTTGATAGTGGTTCAATGTTTGGACCCGTTCTATGCATGAATTCTTCTGTTAGAAGGTGCCGAGTCGTTTCTGAGAGTCGGTTTGTTGAATTTGGTAGTCTATGTACACCAACGTTCACATTTGGCTGTAGTTGACGCACAATATATGTATTCTCAGCAATTGTATTGTCTACCTTTTCAGGGCGTTTTTTCTGCTTGTTTTGCTCGAACGTTGCAATTCCGGTATTGAAGTCTTGCTTACAGCAAACGAGTCGATGGTCACTTCCGGTCGAGAATGATGGAAGAGCGGAGACGTCCGTTACGAAATGTTCATTGACCATACCATGGCCCATTTCGTGTCTTAAGATTTTGGATTTTGATGCCGCTATTTTCTGTGAATCGGTTCCTTTAATTGAAAGTTTATGAGGGTCAATCAATTGGATTCGCATACCGTTGCTACGAGCTCGTCTGATTCATTTTGCTTTTCCACTTCGTATATGAATTGCTGGGGTTGGAGGGTTTTTAGGTTTTTTTTTTCTTTTTTTGATATCTCTTTTATACACATTACGGATTGCAAGACCGACAAGGAGCCGCCCGGATGAGAACTATTCGACTGTACCCTCAGCCTGCGTGAGACCGGTTACTGATTAGAGTGAGAATGCGCCAGTGAGGGGACGAAATACCCAGTTGTGTGAAGAAGCATGTCGAGTTTATATTCTTTACCACAAACAGGCCCTGTACAAAACCAGTTTTGATATTCCAAATTTGATCAACTTTAGGTGACCACTCAACAAACTCGAATAAAGAAGAAAGAAGAGGAGAAAATTGAATCTAGAACAGTCAAGAAAATTGAGAATATCAAGAGGGCGGATGTGGACATGATTAAAACGGACAAGCAACCTGAAAAAAGTTCCACACCTACCATAAAAAAAATAGAGCCACCTACAACATCAACACCGGTATGCCATTTGTTAATTTTTTATTCACTAATCGGGAACACTAAACACCCAGAATACCACATTGCGGCCAATGTCAAATGGGACCTACTTCTAGAAACATTATAGTATTGTCGAAGTCAAACGACTTGACGAAATTTTAAAAATGATTGGCTAGGTGCCAATGCGTCTCGAGGCAGCGAGACTGCGTACACTGCATTATAGCGTACCCGCTACATTTAATATTCAGTCAATTTAAATCTACGCTGATTTCGTTAATTTGAAGTCTCCGCCTCTCTTCAGTCGATTGACGCCGACAATACTAATTTTTAATATGAATCTGTCAAGTGGTTCCGAAGCGATTTTCATTGAAAATATGAATTTTCAAGGATAAAAACAGATTTATGTGTTGTTTTTCCGAGTAAAGCGAACTATTAAAAAAAATATCAAATTAGATTCTCTTTTTAACACGAGCCGACTTTTAAAATTTGCAATTTACTTAGAATAATTTTTGCAATTTCAAGATCCAAAGACAGGAAATATTCAAAAACTGTCATAAGTAGTAATAAGAAGATTATCTTCCAAATGTTGACATTCGGGTCCATTTTTCAAGCCAGGCACATTTTGGACAACGGAGCCTTATTATCTTAAAAGGTCGACACCATTACTCATTTCAGTCGTTTGGTTACTCGGTCCACTCTCATGTAAATTTATGACCTCTTGGTATTAGCCCAAATTGCAGCAAACCGCCATCTCAAACATTTCCTGCCAGTCAAACAATGGTACTTTTACCAATATCAAGACAAAGGTAATTGCTCAGTAAAAATTCCTAATTAAAAAAGATTTTCAGATTACCGAAGTTGTCAAAGGCGCAAAAAAGAAGTTGTCGAAGGCGATAAGGCGCTTAACTTCTGGAGGTCATGATCAAGTAATTCGCATTTTATCAGCATTCAATCAGTTTTGACTGTCTCAGGAACACCGAGAGCAGGACTAGCTACCTCTCAAATATTTGAATTGAACTCGTGGTAAAATCAATAAATGATTCTGAAGACTGGGAATTGGTGACTAGTACTTGAATGTGAGAACTGTCCATTTTTGATGTTTTATGGAAGATATTACTATCACAAAAAAATGAGCGCCAGGGATAATTGTGGACTATTGTAATTTTTCAAAACATTTATTCCAATTTCAATTTGAACAATGTGAATTCAGATACATTGTTCCAATTGAATTTTCAAATAATTTTTTAATAACAAAAAGTCAATTTTGATTTTTAATTATGGAGACAGCAGAACGATGGGAGAGGTCACATTATCTTGAAGGAAAGCGGTTGACCCACGTAAAAAATTAGTGCAATAAAAATTTTAACAATAAATAAATAATTAAAATGAAAAGAGGGCACGCGTGAGAGGGGGAGAGGTCATTTCAGTCATTTCAAGTCATTTCAAATTTATTTCTCTTTGACAACTCCTACGGTGCTCAAGATGGAAATGAGTTGCGATGACTTTCGTCGATCCGTGCAAGAAGAAATCGATTCGCATGTAAAAGATTTCGTAAGTGATCATTGCTCGTAATTTGAAAACCGTTTTTTTTTACCCACATCTAGTTTTTCAATGCGTTAAATGTAGTTTCATTTCAACCCCCTTGTAAAGCATGAAATTCTGACCAATTGCTTTTTTGGATCGTTTTATTTCGTTCAGAAACAAAAAAATTTAGAGCCCCTGATAGCTATTTTTAATAGTCACTCTAAAAATGTTCGAGTTCTTATATGCGATTTCAGCCTTAGCTTAATGTGCTGGTTTGGTGTAGTGGTTAAAATGTGCGATCATTGAGCGTCAATATCTATAGATGTCCAAATGATTGCAATAAAAATATTAACAAAAAAATAATTAAAATGAAAAGAGGGCACGCGTGAGAGGAGGAGAGGTCATTTCAGTCATTTCAAGTCATTTCAAGTCATTCCAAATTTATTTCTCTTTGACAACTCCTACGGTGCTCAAGATGGAAATGAGTTGCGATGACTTTCGTCGATCCGTGCAAGAAGAAATCGATTCGCTTGTAAAAGATTTCGTAAGTGATCATTGCTCGTAATTTGAAAACCGCATAATTAATTTTTAGCAAGAATTACTCAAGCAGGCAGATGAATATAACCTTATCGACCAACTTCGCCCTTATATTGCTGATTTTGCGAACGCAAAGGAAAAAATGGAGGCTCTAAAGGCGGACTGTCTCAAGGGAAAGTGTCGTCATATGAATGCATCGGTTCGTTTGTTTTCTATTATTTGGCATATCTAATTACACCAAATAATTGTATTTAGAATAGTATCCATTTCATTTCAGATCTTCATCGAAAAATTCGAACGAAACCACAATCGCGCTTGCAACGTCGTATGTATCCACATGATCGAGTGTGCCAAAAGTGTTGGATTGATTCAACCGGGATTTTCGGCCTATAAAGAATAGCATTCTGATCCACGCACCACTCGTTGGCACTATTTTTTTCCTCCTATTTATTGTGATTTTTTTGTATTTTAAATAAATACATATTATTGGATGTTTCTTTTATTTTTTTAATATAATCTTAAATTTTCGTTCTGTTTTTTGAATCCTGAATCACCATTTTTTTGATTCATGGATATGTGCTTATTCACGGAACTTCGCAACTTCTTAAATGATGATGTTCAAATTTTTAACCCAATACAAGGTATTATATGGTATAAACTTGATATAAATAATGGAAACTCTAGAGGTACAAACAAATATTATGACATTTATCAAAAATGTAATTAGTCAAAGAAAAATAAGACAAAGCGGTAAAGTGGGTGGTAGATGACCACTGTCTCGGATTGTCAATAAATTCGAAAAACAACGAGTGGTGCGTGGATCAGAATGCTATTCTTTATAGGCCGAAAATCCCGGTTGAATCAATCCAACACTTTTGGCACACTCGATCATGTGGATACATACGACGTTGCAAGCGCGATTGTGGTTTCGTTCGAATTTTTCGATGAAGATCTGAAATGAAATGGATACTATTCTAAATACAATTATTTGGTGTAATTAGATATGCCAAATAATAGAAAACAAACGAACCGATGCATTCATATGACGACACTTTCCCTTGAGACAGTCCGCCTTTAGAGCCTCCATTTTTTCCTTTGCGTTCGCAAAATCAGCAATATAAGGGCGAAGTTGGTCGATAAGGTTATATTCATCTGCCTGCTTGAGTAATTCTTGCTAAAAATTAATTATGCGGTTTTCAAATTACGAGCAATGATCACTTACGAAATCTTTTACAAGCGAATCGATTTCTTCTTGCACGGATCGACGAAAGTCATCGCAACTCATTTCCATCTTGAGCACCGTAGGAGTTGTCAAAGAGAAATAAATTTGGAATGACTTGAAATGACTTGAAATGACTGAAATGACCTCTCCTCCTCTCACGCGTGCCCTCTTTTCATTTTAATTATTTTTTTTGTTAATATTTTTATTGCAATCATTTGGACATCTATAGATATTGACGCTCAATGATCGCACATTTTAACCACTACACCAAACCAGCACATTAAGCTAAGGCTGAAATCGCATATAAGAACTCGAACATTTTTAGAGTGACTATTAAAAATAGCTATCAGGGGCTCTAAATTTTTTTTGTTTCTGAACGAAATAAAACGATCCAAAAAAGCAATTGGTCAGAATTTCATGCTTTACAAGGGGGTTGAAATGAAACTACATTTAACGCATTGAAAAACTAGATGTGGGTAAAAAAAAACGGTTTTCAAATTACGAGCAATGATCACTTACGAAATCTTTTACATGCGAATCGATTTCTTCTTGCACGGATCGACGAAAGTCATCGCAACTCATTTCCATCTTGAGCACCGTAGGAGTTGTCAAAGAGAAATAAATTTGAAATGACTCGAAATGACTTGAAATGATTGGAATGACCTCTCCCCTCTCATGCGTGCCCTCTTTTCATTTTAATTATTTATTTATTGTTAAAATTTTTATTGCACTAATTTTTTACGTGGGTAACCGCTTTCCTTCAAGACAATGTGACCTCTCCCATCGCTCTGCTGTCTCCATAATTAAAAATCGAAAAAATAAGCTGGTGATGATGGAAATATATTATAACTTGAATTTTCAAATAATTTTTATTACCAACGAGTATTGAAGCCTAATGGGCCATAGTCACCTTCCAGATCTTTTGCAGTTTTGTTTTATAGTTTCTAATGATTTTTTTTTCCTTTTTTTCAATAAATATAGATATTGTGAAATGACGTTTGCTAGTGTGCGGAGACTGAAAACATACATAATAAGTTTTTTTTAACAATTTTTATGCTAATCTTAAACAAATTCTAACACGTGCAAAAAATAAATTGCAAGCGGTAATTGAATCATGAAACTATAAAAAATTGAACTTGTTCGGGGGAGGGGGTTGGATGTAGGTCTTATTGCCTTATTAGAATGATATTTAATCACTAAAGTTTAAAATTAAAAAAAATGACATTTTTTGCAAAAAAAAGATTTAAATGAGAAGGGGGCACGCGTCAGAGGGGAGAGGTCATTTCAATCATTTCAAGTCATTTCAAGTCATTTTTTTTGACGATCAGGTCGTTACATTCATTTCAAATCCTTACACTATGAGTTGCGAAGCGGTTGTAACGAAAAGTTTAACGTGAGTAGTTTGGACAGTTCTATCAAACCAATTTCTTTGTGAATTTCAGCACTCGTGAAGACGTGACAGAAAAACGATATGAGCAAAACGTTAGAATTAAACAGTTTTGATAATCCAAATTTGATTAATTTTAGGTTACAATTCGAACAAGGAAAGAAAAAAAAGAAAGTGAACAACCTGAACCTGGAACAGATGGGAAAACTGAATATTGCAAGAAGACGAACGTATGCACTGCTGCGAAGCCCAAACAACCGGAGAATGAGGTCAAACATTCGATAAGAAAGATGAAGCCACTGAATTCAACTCCGGTATGCAATTTCTTAATTTTTTATTCACTAATCGAGAGAACTAAACACCCAGAATACTACATGGTAGTCAATGTCAAAAGGGACCTATTTTTAATAACATTTTGGTAGCACTTTGAAATACTAATTTGTTAAGTCGTTCTTTGGCCAACTCTGAGTAGTCGTTTTCCACAGCTTGCGACATTGTTTGATAGTGGTTCAATGTTTGGACCCGTTCTATGCATGAATTCTTCTGTTAGAAGGTGCCGAGTCGTTTCTGAGAGTCGGTTTGTTGAATTTGGTAGTCTATGTACACCAACGTTCACATTTGGCTGTAGTTGACGCACAATATATGTATTCTCAGCAATTGTATTGTCTACCTTTTCAGGGCGTTTTTTCTGCTTGTTTTGCTCGAACGTTGCAATTCCGGTATTGAAGTCTTGCTTACAGCAAACGAGTCGATGGTCACTTCCGGTCGAGAATGATGGAAGAGCGGAGACGTCCGTTACGAAATGTTCATTGACCATACCATGGCCCATTTCGTGTCTTAAGATTTTGGATTTTGATGCCGCTATTTTCTGTGAATCGGTTCCTTTAATTGAAAGTTTATGAGGGTCAATCAATTGGATTCGCATACCGTTGCTACGAGCTCGTCTGATTCATTTTGCTTTTCCACTTCGTATATGAATTGCTGGGGTTGGAGGGTTTTTAGGTTTTTTTTTCTTTTTTTGTTATCTCTTTTATACACATTACGGATTGCAAGACCGACAAGGAGCCGCCCGGATGAGAACTATTCGACTGTACCCTCAGCCTGCGTGAGACCGGTTACTGATTAGAGTGAGAATGCGCCAGTGAGGGGACGAAATACCCAGTTGTGTGAAGAAGCATGTCGAGTTTATATTCTTTACCACAAACAGGCCCTGTACAAAACCAGTTTTGATATTCCAAATTTGATCAACTTTAGGTGACCACTCAACAAACTCGAATAAAGAAGAAAGAAGAGGAGAAAATTGAATCTAGAACAGTCAAGAAAATTGAGAATATCAAGAGGGCGGATGTGGACATGATTAAAACGGACAAGCAACCTGAAAAAAGTTCCACACCTACCATAAAAAAAAATAGAGCCACCTACAACATCAACACCGGTATGCCATTTGTTAATTTTTTATTCACTAATCGGGAACACTAAACACCCAGAATACCACATTGCGGCCAATGTCAAATGGGACCTACTTCTAGAAACATTATAGTATTGTCGAAGTCAAACGACTTGACGAAATTTTAAAAATGATTGGCTAGGTGCCAATGCGTCTCGAGGCAGCGAGACTGCGTACACTGCATTATAGCGTACCCGCTACATTTAATATTCAGTCAATTTAAATCTACGCTGATTTCGTTAATTTGAAGTCTCCGCCTCTCTTCAGTCGATTGACGCCGACAATACTAATTTTTAATATGAATCTGTCAAGTGGTTCCGAAGCGATTTTCATTGAAAATATGAATTTTCAAGGATAAAAACAGATTTATGTGTTGTTTTTCCGAGTAAAGCGAACTATTAAAAAAAATATCAAATTAGATTCTCTTTTTAACACGAGCCGACTTTTAAAATTTGCAATTTACTTAGAATAATTTTTGCAATTTCAAGATCCAAAGACAGGAAATATTCAAAAACTGTCATAAGTAGTAATAAGAAGATTATCTTCCAAATGTTGACATTCGGGTCCATTTTTCAAGCCAGGCACATTTTGGACAACGGAGCCTTATTATCTTAAAAGGTCGACACCATTACTCATTTCAGTCGTTTGGTTACTCGGTCCACTCTCATGTAAATTTATGACCTCTTGGTATTAGCCCAAATTGCAGCAAACCGCCATCTCAAACATTTCCTGCCAGTCAAACAATGGTACTTTTACCAATATCAAGACAAAGGTAATTGCTCAGTAAAAATTCCTAATTAAAAAAGATTTTCAGATTACCGAAGTTGTCAAAGGCGCAAAAAGAAGTTGTCGAAGGCGATAAGGCGCTTAACTTCTGGAGGTCATGATCAAGTAATTCGCATTTTATCAGCATTCAATCAGTTTTGACTGTCTCAGGAACACCGAGAGCAGGACTAGCTACCTCTCAAATATTTGAATTGAACTCGTGGTAAAATCAATAAATGATTCTGAAGACTGGGAATTGGTGACTAGTACTTGAATGTGAGAACTGTCCATTTTTGATGTTTTATGGAAGATATTACTATCACAAAAAAATGAGCGCCAGGGATAATTGTGGACTATTGTAATTTTTCAAAACATTTATTCCAATTTCAATTTGAACAATGTGAATTCAGATACATTGTTCCAATTGAATTTTCAAATAATTTTTTAATAACAAAAAGTCAATTTTGATTTTTAATTATGGAGACAGCAGAACGATGGGAGAGGTCACATTATCTTGAAGGAAAGCGGTTGACCCACGTAAAAAATTAGTGCAATAAAAATTTTAACAATAAATAAATAATTAAAATGAAAAGAGGGCACGCGTGAGAGGGGGAGAGGTCATTTCAGTCATTTCAAGTCATTTCAAATTTATTTCTCTTTGACAACTCCTACGGTGCTCAAGATGGAAATGAGTTGCGATGACTTTCGTCGATCCGTGCAAGAAGAAATCGATTCGCATGTAAAAGATTTCGTAAGTGATCATTGCTCGTAATTTGAAAACCGTTTTTTTTACCCAAATCTAGTTTTTCAATGCGTTAAATGTAGTTTCATTTCAACCCCCTTGTAAAGCATGAAATTCTGACCAATTGCTTTTTTGGATCGTTTTATTTCGTTCAGAAACAAAAAAATTTAGAGCCCCTGATAGCTATTTTTAATAGTCACTCTAAAAATGTTCGAGTTCTTATATGCGATTTCAGCCTTAGCTTAATGTGCTGGTTTGGTGTAGTGGTTAAAATGTGCGATCATTGAGCGTCAATATCTATAGATGTCCAAATGATTGCAATAAAAATATTAACAAAAAAAATAATTAAAATGAAAAGAGGGCACGCGTGAGAGGAGGAGAGGTCATTTCAGTCATTTCAAGTCATTTCAAGTCATTCCAAATTTATTTCTCTTTGACAACTCCTACGGTGCTCAAGATGGAAATGAGTTGCGATGACTTTCGTCGATCCGTGCAAGAAGAAATCGATTCGCTTGTAAAAGATTTCGTAAGTGATCATTGCTCGTAATTTGAAAACCGCATAATTAATTTTTAGCAAGAATTACTCAAGCAGGCAGATGAATATAACCTTATCGACCAACTTCGCCCTTATATTGCTGATTTTGCGAACGCAAAGGAAAAAATGGAGGCTCTAAAGGCGGACTGTCTCAAGGGAAAGTGTCGTCATATGAATGCATCGGTTCGTTTGTTTTCTATTATTTGGCATATCTAATTACACCAAATAATTGTATTTAGAATAGTATCCATTTCATTTCAGATCTTCATCGAAAAATTCGAACGAAACCACAATCGCGCTTGCAACGTCGTATGTATCCACATGATCGAGTGTGCCAAAAGTGTTGGATTGATTCAACCGGGATTTTCGGCCTATAAAGAATAGCATTCTGATCCACGCACCACTCGTTGGCACTATTTTTTTCCTCCTATTTATTGTGATTTTTTTGTATTTTAAATAAATACATATTATTGGATGTTTCTTTTATTTTTTTAATATAATCTTAAATTTTCGTTCTGTTTTTTGAATCCTGAATCACCATTTTTTGTGATTCATGGATATGTGCTTATTCACGGAACTTCGCAACTTCTTAAATGATGATGTTCAAATTTTTAACCCAATACAAGGTATTATATGGTATAAACTTGATATAAATAATGGAAACTCTAGAGGTACAAACAAATATTATGACATTTATCAAAAATGTAATTAGTCAAAGAAAAATAAGACAAAGCGGTAAAGTGGGTGGTAGATGACCACTGTCTCGGATTGTCAATAAATTCGAAAAACAACGAGTGGTGCGTGGATCAGAATGCTATTCTTTATAGGCCGAAAATCCCGGTTGAATCAATCCAACACTTTTGGCACACTCGATCATGTGGATACATACGACGTTGCAAGCGCGATTGTGGTTTCGTTCGAATTTTTCGATGAAGATCTGAAATGAAATGGATACTATTCTAAATACAATTATTCGGTGTAATTAGATATGCCAAATAATAGAAAACAAACGAACCGATGCATTCATATGACGACACTTTCCCTTGAGACAGTCCGCCTTTAGAGCCTCCATTTTTTCCTTTGCGTTCGCAAAATCAGCAATATAAGGGCGAAGTTGGTCGATAAGATTATATTCATCTGCCTGCTTGAGTAATTCTTTCTAAAAATTAATTATGCGGTTTTCAAATTACGAGCAATGATCACTTACGAAATCTTTTACATGCGAATCGATTTCTTCTTGCACGGATCGACGAAAGTCATCGCAACTCATTTCCATCTTGAGCACCGTAGGAGTTGTCAAAGAGAAATAAATTTGAAATGACTTGAAATGACTTGAAATGACTGAAATGACCTCTCCTCCTCTCACGCGTGCCCTCTTTTCATTTTAATTATTTTTTTTGTTAATATTTTTATTGCACTAATTTTGAACTCACGTGGGTCAACTTCTATAAGACAATAATTCTCTATTACTTGTGAAATGAGTAAGTATTAAAAAGAAAGTACAAAGACGATTACGAGTCTAGAAACTCTGATTTTTGCAATTTCAGTAGTAAAATTAATTAGAATTTCATACTTTACAACGTGGAAAAAATCAATTTTCTTAAAATGCCATGAGTTATAAGCAAATTAAAATTAAATTTTTTTGAATTCTTTTTATTTCGTTCGCCAAGTTGAAAATAAACCCGTTGTTGCGCTTTCAAAACACCAGCGATATTTTTTCAAAACACCGATAATTAATTGTTGCAAATTTTTAAAAGTAAATAAAATTTAAATTTGCAAAAAAAAATTTTATTTTAATTGTGCATAAATTTATTTTAATACAGTTCATCGAATCGGGCTTACCAGTCGTTCCAAAAAATCGACACGGGAAATTTTATGACCTTATGTATGGGAAACAATGTTCTCGTCGGAAGTTTATAATCATATGAACAAACATTTACAAAAAATATACCAAATTCCATAAATATTTGTGATTTATGTTCATTTTAATGCATCCGTTGGTAATTACAAAATATTAAGATAATGACACAAAGATTTTCACAATAAATGACCCCTCAGACCACCCGAAATGTAATTTTAATTGTGGCGCAGCTCAAGCATTATTGGAACAAACGGTTGCTCAACGCGATTAATAATTTGAGCAATCTGATCACAAACCATCTGTAAAAAATAGATAACATTATGACAAATAGGTGTTGTCCAGACTTGCTGTCTTTGATGATCACAGGTTCCACGATCACATTCACGTGCCATATCACGTAACAGCTGAGTTAATCTGCTAACCTCTTGAAGTTGCTCATTCAAGTTTGGCGACAATCTCTCTTCATGCTGTACATTCAGAAGAATCAATCGGAACTAAAATCCATATAACTACGTAATTGCTAGAAATAAATGTTCTTACCGCTTTTTCTTTGTAATATTTAATTACCTCCTCAGCATATTTATTTGCGTCATTACAATCCGAGCGATTCATTCTCTGGATATTACAAAAATTAAGAAAATCATAAAATATATATTCAATCAATATTGTGAATAAAACAAAATGAAAGAAGGAATGTTTGTACGTCATGCAAAATCGCTGCAGAAAACACATCGACAATGACGGGAGAAAATTGAAAATGTGTTCCTTTCTTTTCGGCGATTATTTTAATAGGGTTCAGAATAATCATTTCCACACAGTCGTTTTTGTTTCTGTCAGTTCAGCTCATATCCTTCGAGCCATTTCTAAAGAACGAGAAAAATGAACATTTTATGAAAAAAAATATTTAGACCGATGCGTGACACTATGGGAACTTCTGCAAAAGCGATATTTTTTCAAATCGAAAAAAAGTATTGTGGGGCCAAGCATCACTTTTTCTAGTTTTCTTCGTTTTGTCTACAAATTTTTTGTAATGCTATTAGCTAATAATTGTTATGTAAACTTAGGGCAACTTCGGGATGAGAAACTTATTCAAGTACCTACAATATTCTTCAGTATAAATATCTTTTAAGATTACTATGGTATCATTGTGTTCTCATTCTACTGATTCTGGGATTTCTCACCAATAGTTAAATGCATTTGACATGCAAAAAATAGCAATTCACTGCTCTCAGGATTTATAAAAAATTTTTGTTACAGAACAAATTGCTATCCATTCACGTGATATTCGCGTTACTTTTTTCATGCTGTATGGCTTGCTCATTGGTGGCTATTCACCAGCTGTTGTGTATCATTGCATAATTACCACCAAGGCTCTGTGGGAAATAAAGAGAGTCTGTACAGAACACATTCAAAATATCGGCTGCTAAGTTCCTGAAAACAATGGATTGCAAGGTTAAGTGTTTTCCAACGAAAATTGGCCCCAGAATGTCAATGCACTTGACTCCGCCCATATTGACTGTAAAAGGGAGTATTTTATCTCTCCACCTAAGTTCCATACCGTACTATTGCTCTTCCCCTTCCTAGTGATACCACTTCTCTCCTTTTTTTTGTATATTCGTACATCTTACGCTTGTACTTACTCCTGGTCCTACCATTTGGAACCACCTCTTCTTTATTTGGGGAAAACCGGCTTCCTCGTCCTTTTTCACCCGTGTTCCTACCACTTCTGTCTGTACACTCTTCCCTTCCTACCGTTTGGGACAAGTCTTCTTTTCCGGGGACAGTCGTACTACTACAAGGCTTCCCTATCTCTTATTCTGTCATACCACTTTTGGCTTCCACTATTTTTTCACCTTCCTTCCCATTTTTACTTCTTGCCTTTTACCTTTTTAAAGGTGTGACTTCTTTTAGATTCTTATGGATCCAACTCAGGCTTTCTTCCTGCAGTTGGTGAGCTTCCTCTTCGCGTACCGAGCCTCTCTGTGTCGAAGAGGATTAACTGACGATCTCCTCTTTAGACCTCTTCCGGCTAATTGGTACATCATCACACGCATGTCGAGGATTAACATTCACAATCTGGCTTTCTCAATCACTTTCTAGATCGTAGAGAGCATCTCTACGACCTAGGAAGTCTTGAGAGATGTTCAGAGACGACACCAATACTTCCGAATCCCAATGATCTTCTCAAGGATTTTTCTAAAAAAAAATATTGCTTAATAAAATTTTTATAAAGTAATGAGATGAATACTATGTACACTAAAAAACTGGTTTTAAACTTTTTCCTGATTTTTCAGTTTTTCAGTAATCAGCAATGACTGCCACGTTTGCATCGAAATGAACATGGAGTCGATGTTTTTGTTCTAACAGATTGTTTAAACCGCATTAACCACGTTTCAGTCTGCTACTTTGCTGACACAGTTACGTGTGTTTTGATTTCAGGTTATGTTTTTTGATGAATTCTGAAAAACACTAAATATGGAAAACTTTGTGAGAAAATAGACAATGTTTTTTTTGCTCGCGTGTTCCGTGAATCTCAAAATTATATAAATTATTTTCTTCTTTTGCATTATTCTTTTGATATTATCGAAAACTGTTTTTTTCCAAATTCGACCACATACTTTGAAAACGCTATTTATTTGCCGAGGTTAGTTTTTTCAAGGTTAGCTTGTTTCTTTATATGATGGATTTTGAAATTAACTTCATAAATGTGAGAATTATCAAATGCTAGTTGTTTTGCTAGCAATTTGTAGTCCAAAGGCCTTTGTAGCACAAATGACATTGTGTTTGAGTCAATTCTCTCTGAATGTGCCAAAATGATAAGGTCCATCTGAAAGTTATACGAACACTTATCAATATTGCAAAAATATCAGACCCAATTTTTGTGAATTACTATGTAGCGAAAAAATTGTTTCACCTAGAAAATTGATTCACTTGGCTCAAAGATCATATGAGAGAGCAATCTTTCAAATTCCATATCCTTTTCATTTTGCGAAATTACAGCGTTAATGTCATCCTTGTTTATATTTTCCAGTAGAACGATTTCGCAAATCATCTCCCATTCTTGCAATGCATTTCAAAGAAAATCATCCTAATAGTCTTAATGAATTTCTGAGTACCTCACAAGAGCAGATAAATAGATTAAAAAGAATTTGAATCCAAAGCACAACTTTGCTTGTGCGGTGCATGTTTTTCAAGATGACTAAGGCATGTGTGAACCAAATCCTATAATTCCTAAGAAAAAATGCGAAAGTTCTGCTAATGATTGCAAAAAGATGCAATTCGAACAAGCAGACATTCTCATTTGCGGCTTCTTAATCGGTAAATTTGACAAAAAAATTCTTCGCGGAATTGTGCTCTAAGCAAAAGAAACATCGAAAATTATTTAGGAAAAATTGAATGGTTTATGATTCAGCCTATAAAAATTAATGAGAGGTGAATATATGCTATTATGCAACAAATCCCATATCTGAAAAACCTAAAGGATATTACAAAATGATAATAGAAAATTATTTTGGAGAAATAAAATTGCAAGAATTGTGCGATAATTTTCGGGATCATGATTTTTCGAAGTTTTAATAAATTGTTGAAAGCGTGTTATTACAGGATACAGGATGAGGGACGCTGCTTTAATCTACTTTTAAAGCATATTTCATTCTAAGAAAGAAACGACAAAGCACATTGAATAAAATAGAGCAAATTTTATAAACTAGAACACCGCAGAGATTTGTTGGGAATTTTTGTTCCTGGTATAAGACAAAATTACTAATGTTTGGACATATGAACTCAAAAACCACTAGAAATGAGTACATTTGTCGGCTTTTGGAACAAAACGTAGCGAAATCAATCAATATTTTATCATGTCGTTATCAGTGTCTTCAAAAAGTTCTTCAATCACTTGAACTTAAATGTCAATGGCACCATTTGCGTGAGAGTATTACTTTTTCACACTTGAAAGAAATGTGATGTTAATTGAAGCATGCTGTCTTCAACTGAGCGTCATGTTAACATTTCATTTGATAGCAGCATTTTCGTTCATTTTCACTTTTAGGTTGATAACCGTGTTAGGCAAAATTCCATTTACCTGCGATTACGCAAAGAAAAATTTTACATACGCTCAACACTGTTTAGTATCATATTTATTTACTTATGAAAAAGACATTATTGTGTCATTTCCGCGGCGTATTGATGTCAGCGAATTAGTAATGCAGCGTAATATAGAAGACAATTTATTGTGTTTATTGAATGTTCTTATCAACATTTTTTCCATAATTACGGCGTTACTTTTTGTAAAACCTCCAAGGAAGTTTATGACATATATTGTTTATTTGTAAATAATTATAGGATATTTCTACCTTTCTGCCAAATGTTTTAGTTTTCTCATTAATCTTCCAGTTTTTATATATGAATTAAAAACACTCCAGTTGCAATAATCGTACAACTTCTGAAATTTTATTTTTATGGCTTAAAAAATGCTGATGATATGCCCATTTATTAGTGGTCTAGATTCTTTTTCTCTCTTATTAGTTTTCCAGTGACAGAAAAATTGAAGATAATCAGGCTTTCGCCTCTCAAAAATAGCACCTGCTTTGGAAAAGCTCTAGCCAGCCAGAATTTGTAATTGAAATATGCGGTATAAAACTAGTTGTTTCGTTCATTAGAAATATTTCACTTTTTACATTCTCAATCTAATAGCTGATTTCTTTTTCGTTTTAGTCAAATCATGTTTCAACGTCGCTGCAAAGGAATTTCGAAAGAGGAAAAGGATACTATCATAAAATTTAAGAATGATTTGGTTTGTTCTACAATCGATTTTTAATTTTGGTTATTTTTCAATAGAAAGAGATGAATAAAAATAATGTGGAGTGCCAGCAGTATACAGAATGCCTTCAAAAGTTCAACGAGCTACTGTTCACAATCAAAAGAATCCTTCACAAATGCCACTATCGGACCACTCATACACATCGCTGTGTCGGAGTATGTCAATTTTACCAACAATAATTCATAAATGAATGTGTTGAAGTAGAAAATTTAATGACTTTTCTTTAGAAAATTATTTCGAAAATGAAAAGGTACGTCCTACTTGCTAGAATTGGAATTCGATTGCCATTGAAAATCGCGGAAAATAATAGAAAAGTTAGCGGTATTGACTTTAATAGATTTCCTTGTCGCGACCTTTGGAATATGGTATTCGCAAGAATGGGTCCAGTTCTGCTTGAAAGGGTTTGTTTCAATGGACAGAAGACAACCAACTGCGTAATAACTTACAGAGACAACTCATTCTCAATGAAGACAATAAAACGATGCAGTTGCTAACAAATTTCAACATGCTTATCAAACGCTTATGGGATATAAAGCTTACATGTACACTGAATATCCAGCATGACCACTCAAATGCCATAGTAAGTGTTTCAGTTAACTCCTAGTAAAATTTTTCAGAGCTTTCACATTTTGTTCTATTAGAACTTTCATACCGGATACACTTCCTTTTTTCAGTTCACATGTAATGAGGCGAAGAAGATGCTCAACACATTGAAGGAACATTCTGAGAACAAAGTCAAACAAAATGTCGTTCATGCGGTGAACAAGACCCATACTGTCCACAACTCTCCATTAATTGTTGTTCCATTATTTTTGCTTTCGTTTGTTTTAGCTGCTAAAATTTGCATTTCTAGAAGAATTTAAAAGGGATACTTTGAGAAAAACGAACTTTGATGTACGCTTCAATAGGTATTAAGGTTTTTTTCTCACAAAAAAGTTTCGTCATGAACTCATATCAACATCTACACTGAAAAAGCATGTAATATTACTAAAGTTCAAAAATCCGGTGATATACCCAAATATTCTGTGTTACTTTGTGATCTTAATCCCATGTGATTGTATGTTATTATGTTGTAGTTGTTGACTGACTAATAATTGAAACTAATGAGGAAAAAATTAATTAACCTAGTGTTGTTTTAAATATATAATTGGTGTTAGGTAACAATTTTGAAACATCCGGTATAAATTATTGAACGTTTACTCTCAAAAATAGTTTTGCTCTGTTGGAAACAAACGGCTTATAATATGTACTTTAATCTGACACTTTCGAAATAATTTAAATGAAGGATAATTGACATTTTCTCGACTCTTACACATATACCAATAATTATGCTGACCAAACGGGATCTTTCTCGACAAATATCTAAGCATCTTGAACGAAATTAACATTTTCATATTAATTTTAAACCAGATAATGAAGAACTAAGAAGATAGTAAGTTTTGTTGAAGCCAAAAAGCATCCACAACATGAAATCGAAATCAAAGGGTTTAGATGTACTGAGATTAAAACGCCGATAAACTTTTAATTTTCGTAGAAACTATTTATTAAATAGAAAATATTCGTAAGACCCTTGAATTTCGTTTGAGCAAGTGTGATCTGTTGCTGATACAATGCGTTTGTAAGACCCAGCATAGGAACAATTTTACACACGGGTGCAGGATTTGAGCAAAACACAAAAAATTCTTATTTTGATTGATGACGTCCAATTATAATCTAATTTATCAAAAACTTTTTTTCCATCGACCATTTATTTAGATACTATATCAAATACCATTCAATTTTCAAACATACAACAGTCAGATCAATCCAACATTAACAATAAGCGATTAGCATTCTAATTTGGTGGTACGACTGGTAAACTGCAAAAATTGATGACTTTTATTTTATGAAAAACCCGAGGTTGTCCTTACCATGAGTTTCGGACTTCCTGAGCCATTATGAGTGAATTTTCCACGAACAATTCCACAGCTTCGTAGTATCTCGCTGCCTTTGAAGTGAAGTTAAAAAAAACTGGAGGTTGGGTTGGTTTTGTGAAAACAAACACAATTTGATCTTCGGTGATCTGTAAAAATCGTAAAAATATAACATAATGAATTGTGTTATCGTATCTTTGGAAACTTCCACGTGGAAGCTAAACTCTTTAATCATGTTGACAGAACTTATGATTCTCTTCATTGTCGAGATTGCTTCTTTCTTCAACGCATCCCGATCACTCTTGCGGTTGTCTTTGACTGCGTACAAGAGATCAAGAATGTCGTCTCTCAAAATCGCCATGTCATCTTCAATCGATTCGTGGAAGGTATTAAGGAGATCCATTATCAGTATCGATTTCCCATTTGCTCTCAATTCGGCAGTATGCTTTATGTATAACGGTTCCTGGTGAAAAGTAAAATACAAATTTATTGAAATGATTTGTGTGCCTTACGTTCTTGAACCATTGATCATCTTTTTCAATGCTAACCATCATATGAAGATATGCAGAAGGTTGAAGATCAGATTTTTTAGAATCCAACAAAAGTTTGAAAATGTTGCCTTCAGATGGTGCCAATTGTGTTTGTTTTTCTGTGTCATTAACGGGTTTCACATTCTCATCAGAGGCGTCGCCATCAAGCGTTCTACAAGTCTTGTCATCAACCGTCTCATGAGCTGGGCCATCATTGTTAGCAGCTACGTCATCGTCTTTTGGGCCAACCTCTGTTTCACAAGATCCACGAACAGGTGCAGCAAGTGGCTGAAAACAAAAATTAATTTGAAATTTAAGTACCCAAAAACAGTTCCAACCGTTTCATCGACTTGCCGTGACGTAACAAGAATTCGATTGACGATGGCTATCATAACATTTGCCGTTTGTCTAATAACGTCCAACTGTTTCCTTTTTTCGGCGTCCATGTAAAATGAAGGAAACCGCGGATATATGAATCGATTTGTGAGACGTTCGGCATCAAGCGGAAGTTTTGCCTGCAATTTTCTGTTGCACGCTTTCATCTTCGCGAACTTATATTAACCTTAAGCCCATACTTCATCGCTTGTGAAGATATTTCCAGATTCTGCTCGATGTTACAAAGAACATCCATTGTTAAATTCTTCAATCGCCGAAATACTGAATAGAGTTCCAACCCTTCCTGTTCTGTCAAAGGAGCTCTTCTAGTCAAAGGCGGAATGCGAGATTCAAGAATATCTCGAAGAGCCACCAATCGGCGACATCCTTCCATCACATTATCACGGAGAATATCGGCGATTTCAAGAATAGTGAGAGATGTGAATCCTCTATCCACCATATCCATAAACTTATAAACCATTTGATTGCTCTAAAATTGAAATTGATCTAAATTATAGCTTAATAGCGTGTGATTAACCTTATTGTACCTATCAAGATTGACTTCTACACAATCGGGGTCGAAGTTTGCCATAAAATGATTGTACAAAGTGTTACGACCAATGGTTGTAGTTTTCAAACATTCCTTTCTCTCCAAGTAAAAAATTGCCTAAATCAGATAACTCAATGTGGACATTGTGGTGATGATTCACTTCTTGATCCTCTTGTAACTCAATTATGTCACCTTGAAGTTCCAACCATTTTTCGTATTCAGATGTAGAAGCGTCTTCAGTGTTCATATTGCTATTGGCATCTTCATTACCGTTGTCATTGCTTTCTTTTGCTTCCTGCTGTATTGATTATTAATTAGAAAAATAGTAAAATAATTTTACCAATTCTTTTAATACATCGATGGCTCCAAAGGAATGTTCAATAACTTCTAGTGCGATTTTCAAAACCTCGTAAGCCAGCAGTTTATGCATCTTGTGTTTCTGTTCATCTTTCCCATTGCATAGATCTTTTGGCACATCCTTGAATACTATCGTTCCAAATGGTTTCGACCTTCTGCGTGCGTCATAAGGAATGAAATCCTAAAAAATATTATTACAACTTCAACAGACATTATAAGTCTATACCGTGTTCTTCTTGATTTGCACTTCGAGCTCAAATGCCTGTTCACAATACGGCATGATCTTCTTGATTGCTTTCTGAGCTACTTGACACGCTGCATGAACCAATTCGTATGTTTCGTCGCATGGGGTTTCATCCATTTCCAGAACCATGTCCACAACTACTTCGACATTTTTCTTAACGGTACAAAGACGTTTCATGAGTTTCGGCTTCAAACTCAAAGCCATGCCTTCGGCCCGCTCAATGCTAATGCTGCTCGTCTTTATTTTGAGAACTTCGTGTGATTTCATCGGTGACTAAAATTATCATTTTAAATTTTTTAATTGGTTCTTTTTTCGCTTACATAATACCAGAAGGAGTTTATAAGCTTATAAACTTTTTTTTTCTTAGCGTCCTCTTTAATGGCAGCTTGTTCGATCTTCAAAAATAATCTAGATATTTGATATTTTTTCATTCTCACCTCTGGGTAAAATGAGGCCGCTTGCTTTACGACGAGAGAAACATTTTTGACGCCCATTTTGAAGAATTTTTGGAAGAGCGCGTACAAGTCGTAGAACGAGGGAAGATTTTCTCGTTCTAGGATGCTCTGCTCTTCATGGGAAGGCCATTCCAACTGTTGCACCCTACTCATACATCGTGCCTTTCTTGGGATTTGCTTCTGAATTGATAGTTTGTCGAAAAAATAACAACAATATTACGTCGCCTCCATATTGATCAAAGAGTAGTTTCAGTTCCTCTAATTGGTAGGAGACCACAAAGAGATTCTCCATCGCGATGTTCAGATCCCGGCAAACGTAGAGAAGATAATTCACGTCTAATACACCATCATCAACACTTCTCATATTCAATTCCATCGTGTCCAGCATCTTTGCGATCACAAATACAGATTTTTGCGCGCTCTGTACAAATAATGGAACAATTTCCTTGATGGGAGCATCCACAAGCTTCAGATCATCCAATCCGAGAAGAATGTGAACCGAATAAACATTCTGCTAATTTGTTTTCTTGTTAAAATTATCAATTGAGAATTTAAGCTGAAAACCCCATCCCATCAATTTCAGACAACGATCGTAGTATCTTATTAAAGCATAAGAAAATTTTTCGAGTCATCGAAGATTATATATCACTAGAAAATATTAAACCAAAATCAAACAATAACTATGACATACCGTTTTTCGAACACAACTTGTCGTAATCACAGGAAATTCCACTTTGCGTTGCTGAAATGAATATTCTTTAGTTTTGAGTCTCACGTCTGATCTGTACCTGACGCGCCATCTTCTTTGCTCCTTTTTGACGATATTTACCAGCCATTGTTCAGAAAATTGAAAAGAAAATTGTCTGTAAAAGAAAAATTTCTATGTAAAAAAAGTGGGAAGAATTAATTTGAGCGACACAATATATGATATTGTGACTCAAAGTATGATGACAAAGAGTGAGTTGCATTTGCGCGCTACCTAACACACTTTTCGATTTCTGACCGCAGTTCAATTACGAGACGCAGAGAGACAAAGTGGTGAGGCGCGTCTAACGGGGTTACCAAAAAACCCCAGCAAATTAAAAAAAAATCGATAAAAAGCGACAAACAAGGTTAATAAGATTCCGTCCAAACGTAAAAAGTGCTTTAACTTACTGTAACTTACTCAAAATCAGTAAAATGATAAATGGCCTTTTCATGTGAACATAAAAAATTATAAAAAAGCTTGCGAATTTATTTTGCCCATCAGAGGGTCTGAAAGCTTAAATATGGGAATTTCAACCTGGAAACCGACGATAGATTCCAAAGTGATTCTTGCTCACAATTGATTGAACTCCTTCCTTCGAAGTATTTTGGGCGGACCGGAAACTGAAGAATCAATGCACTTTTCAATTCAGAAGTACATATTTATAAAACCTGCAGCAGTTTCAAGAAGAATATATGCAAATTGTAGATTGTGCGAATTTTCGCCCTACCGTACACACTGATTTACTCAATTACGAGGTGCAGAGAGACAACGTTGAGCGATTTTTTGTCTATAGTTTGATAATGAGAAACTCAATTATCGGAAAAAAATTGACTGAACCGATAAATGATGTAAAAAAAAACCATGAAATTATGAAAACAAACAATATAATCTTAAAAATTTTGCAGTATATTGTTTTTTTCCGATATTCGAATACCAATAAAAATAAATTGTAAAATTGTGACTCTTCTTTATTTTCAAAAACATTCATAAACAGTAATTCAAATATGTGCTATTCTGCATCCCATCAAGACTCAATCTGTTCTTCTTTTTTTCATTTAATGGTATTTATGTGCAAGGTATTTTAATTTTTCCAGTGAACATGTAAATCATTTATTTAACTGTTTAGCATATTTTGACAAAGTATTAGTAATGAAATACTAAAGTATATAAAAATGCAATTTTTTTAAAATATTATTCCGTTGATATACAGTAATATCATAAACTGAATTCGCTCTTTTAAAAAACTGCAGGATAACTTATAAATACATATTTGATTTTCTCGATTGAAGATTTCTGTCCAAAACGAAAATGATTGTTGATGGCAATTACGGGACATCCTGAAAGTAAACTTAAGTTGGGAATCCCAAATTTGGTTGAAATTTGCCTTCACTTTGAATTTCATTATTTGGCTTCAATAAAACGTTCCGTTCTCGTTGCGATTCGGAAAAATTTATTTTCCTGAACATATGAAAAAGCGTAGTTGGTTCTCTTGATTGTTAAAAATGAATTCGGCGTTCACGAGACAAATTACTTTTTATTATTTTTTTCACCAATTCTAAAATACCGTAGTCAACCTTTGTTGTTTATTTCGGAATATTTCGAATTACAAAAAAATCGTTGTTAGGTCTCTTTTTTTACGAAATTGGAATGATTGATGTTTCGATGAAGTTGTTTGTATCTACTTTTGATAACCGCCAGAGAGAATTCGTCGGAAATTAATCCTGGAGATTAAAACAAAATTAGGAGCAAGTTCGAAGCATAAAATTCGATGAAACTGTTTTTCCCACTACTTCAATATTACACAATTTCAAATTTCAATAACACAACTGTTTTTCTGAAACATAAAACTAGTCTAATATAAATAAAAATATTGAATCAGCAAGAGTTAACAATAAAGCCAAAAATATCAGAAATTACACTTTGTTCGTTTTTCCAATAACCGACAGTTCCTCAATAACATGAAGTATTTGAAATCTTGCGAAAGTTACACTTAAAACAATTCCTTTGTTTTTATTGAAAAAAAGACTAATTAAATCGTTTCACTTATGAGAAAATATCTCTTCTGAAAAGGGAATTTTCAACTTCTTATATATGCGAAAATTTTATGATCTCACTCCACGATTTTTATAGCTTTTCTCACTCGTTTGAATTATTGTTGTCATATCACTGTGAAAAGAATCCATATCTGTTGAAACTGCCACTGCAGTGCACAAAAAATGGGAATGAACACATTTGTCCTCATATGTAATTCCCGACGGATCGATCCATTTTTCGCAATAACTTACCCATTATTTTCCTGGCGTCAAAATGCGAAGAATAGAAGAAGCGGTTTCGTGCAAAACGCGCATTCGATTCATCAACCCCTGAATAATCTATTACATGAAAATATAGTTATCTTAAAATCATTCTTCATTATAAAACAGTATATATTCAGGATATCCGAAATTCAAGAAAAACTATGCGACAACATGAGTGTGATCAAATTTTGATGCGCAAAAGTGCCGAATCATACCGCCAAGGATTTGTGTAATCATTCGAGACAAGTTTCTCTAGCAGTGTTAACGGCAACACATGTTAGTATGTTCTGGAAATTTGGCACAAAAAATTCTGGATCAAAACTGCAAATTGATTTTCTTTTGATATTTTTTGTAGATTATTTTGTATCAAGCGTTTCCAATGTTTTCCCGCACCTACGTCATGCAATAACTTTCAATCTGTAAAATCTTCCGTATGCTTTAGACCAAAGTTTACATTTTTAAAGAGACATTATCTTAATTTTTAAAAAATGGAATTCTTTACTTACCAGCGCAATGTAAAATTTTCGAAAATGAATTAAAATTAAATTAATATTATTTTTTTCCACAGTTATTCAAATCGCTCGTTTTTTTGGCGATGGTAATTGTTTTCAGTAATCACATGGAAAATCATAACCAAATATATGACAAATAGTCACCGCTAATTGTCTGTGATACACTTTCGATCATTAACGTTCAAAAATCGACAAAACCAAAACTGATAAAACTTCAAACGTTTCTCGAAATTTACGAGTTCATAAAAAACCGCGATTTGGGTAGACTGAGGGGAGGGAGGGTAACATTGGAAAATCATAAGCAGAGATGAGAGAAATTGAGAAAGTGGCGGCATGTTTCAGCGCATCGCCAGTACGCATATATATTTTAGTTCGATAGCTTGACAATCATTTCATTTCCACCGAATCTTATCAATTCGCGTTCCTGCGTTCACGGAATTTGCGCCTATCATGAAGTATTGATTGTATAGAATAAAAATCTGGTGACGCTCTTTTTTTTTAGGAATATGGCTTGCATTTTCCTTCTTCAACACATTACCACAAAACTGGAGGGTTATTTCGTCAAAATTGTGAGTTATATCAATTGTTAAAAGTAAGTCAGCTTTGCGCTTTATTTTTAGCAACTTATCCATGGCATGAACTTCTACAGGGGGCGTGTTATAAGCCCAAATTTGGAAATTCAAATTGAAAATTTCAAGAAATTATTCCCTATAATGGAGGAAGTTTGCATGGGTTGCGAACATGATCGGTGCGATCATACAAGAGTGCAGGTCAATCATTTTTCACGTCTTCAAAATTCATCGAAATTTTTAGATGATGATCACACAAGCGGATCAACAACTCGAGCGAATTGAACAACCTTTCATACAGCTGATTAAATCTCATAACCTCGATTTTTGAACAAGAGTAACTTCAAGAGAAAATTATGTAAAAATAGTATTTCTAGCAAATGATTATCATTTTCCTTTCAAATTTATATAATTGTCGCTTTTAAACGACTGATCAAAATTGTGCTATAATGTTTCGAGTTAGAGGCAAGTGTGCGAAACAGTCAAAAATAAATTGAAACTTACAATTATTTTTTAAGTAAACGTTCCCTTCTACCCCAGCGTTCAGTCGTTTGAAACCAACAAAATATTGCTTGTAAAACAATTGTTGTAAACAATTAATGTAGTATACAGTGTACATATTCCGCATTGTCGATATTATCGAAATTTTTATCATTTGAGAATAAACGTGTACAAAATGTATCAGTAGGTTTTTTTTTTACCAAAGGCAGAGTACGTGAAAATTGGAAAAATTTAACCAATTGACATTTTCTCACATGTCATACAGACATTTTCTAATGCTGCGATGTTGGAAAGACTCTTATCAAGTTTCTACTTCTTTCTGTCAATGGAAAAGTGTGTGGAAACACGGCATGTGTAAAATTGCTTTTATCGTCCTGTATGACATGTATTTTGTTTTACTCTTTCCATCATTTTATTGATTGTTATTAAAAAGCATATGGTCAGTAGAAAATAGTCCCCATCAAGATTACGCATACAATAATTAACCAAGAACAGTTGAAAAAGACCTAATTAAGTTATTTCTTCTATATTCACAATAATTCCAAAAGATAATTATGATTTGAATTCAGATACGGGTTTCTCGACCAGTGGTATTAAGTTGATAACGTTCGATGTCGAGAACCGTTAAATGCAGTCGGATACACATACCCTGAAAAAAATTCTTAATGTCAAGTATTTATATTCGTTATTTGTATATATATAATTTATTTATTTATATGTTACCATCAATGCTTGGTGATTGTGGTTTCCAGAGTCACATTGATCCAGAAGGTTCATAATGTTGTTAATAACTTCTCCGAGTGTGTCGGCCGCAGAACATTGTGGCATACCTCTTCGAGCGACGCGACACTGATAACAAATATCAAAAACTATATTGATTTTAGATTCACTTACACAACGAATATAGCTGCGAAAGATTAGGCAGCGGCATCTTGCAAATCGGTCATTACATTCGTCCATTTTAATTATTTAAATTTTACTAATTTTGTTCAAAATATTTTAAATGTGAAAGCTATGCGAAATAGCTTCGAAAAAATATATGAACACTGAAGCAGTGATATCAAAAACTGGCTGTTGGTTCTCTTGCACTTTATAGAAAAAGGGCAACTACTACAATCGTGAGCAACGAATAAGGTGTCTAAAATTCTTTGCAAGCGCTCCGTCTCTGTTTTATGCGATATTCGACAGAATGTGTCTGAGCAAGAACCA